AGTATGACATTAAAAACGCGTTCTTTAACGTAATAAGACCGGAAAGCGACCTTATATCTATAGAGTTACTAAACGGATTTAAGGAAGAAGGAAAATACGCCTTCGCTATAAGAGTAATATACGGGTTTAGAGATTTACCCCTACTTTAGTTTAAGGAGATCGAGAGTACCTTTAACCGCTTAGGACTTTAGAGCTCTTTAGAGAAGCCGTACTTATTCTATATAGAAGGACGAGAAGTCTTTATATTAGTATACGTAAACGATATATTAATTATAAACTATAAAAGCTTAAAGGCGATGGTATAAAAGGTAGCTTAAGGATTAAAGGATACCTATAAAACGAAAGAGCTTAGATTAATAAAGTAATATTTAGGGATTAAGGTAATACGTAATCGCAAAGTACGAACTATAACCTTAATATACGACGCTTATATCGAGAAGATTACCAAACGCTTTAAACTAGCGGATAATAATTAATTTCCGATAATATTATTACTAATTACCGAGCTAATAAAGTATATAGGCGTTACTTCGAAATAATAAGTTAAGGAATACTAGGAGAAAGTAGGGTTACTATTCTATAGCGTAATTATAATACGCCTAAACGTCGCTTTCGTAACGTCCTAACTATTCCATTTCCTAACTAATTTAGGACCTTAGTACTTTAAAGCGGTTAATTAAACGATTAAATACCTATATATTACTCGCTTCCTTAGCATAAGGTATAGGGATAAGAATAATAACGCTTAAGTACTCTTAATTAGTAGTAACGCTTCGTTTATAAACGATTCTAAGTTAAGAAAGTCGTTTTAGAGATACGTAATATTCTTATTTAAAGGTCTAATTATATAGAGAGCCGTTCGCTAGGATATAATATCGATATCGACGACTAAAGCTAAATTACTCGCATTAGAATATATAGCTAAAGAAACGATAGCTTTTAAACGTTTCTTTAGGAATATTACCCTAAAGCTAGGAGAACCTTAGAGGATATATAACGATAACTAGTAAACGATAAGACTAATAATAGAAAAGAAAGAAAGGATTAATACTAGGTTACGCTATATAGATATATAGAATATATAGCTACGCTAGGAATACTAAAAGGATACCTTTAAAGTAATCTACCTCCTTATTAACTAAATACTAGTAAACGGACTTACGAAAGCTTTATTACGTTAATCGTTCGAATACTTTAAAATATTACTTAACCTATAAAACGCTCGCGGAAAAATAGTTATAATAATACTTAAAGAGTCGCCGTAAGTACTAACGGTACGTAAATTCTCCCTTTAATTAATTAATATATAAATATAAAGTATTATCGCTATATAAAAATAGCTCTTCTTATTACTAAATACCGAACTCGTTTTACTTATAAATCCTAATATAGGAAGGCTATTTTAAGATAAAGAACTTAACTACGGAAGTAATAAGTAAGGCCGAATTAGCGGGAGATACGAGTACCGGCGGATTCGTTTTAATATTCGATAATCTCTTCGTATAAGCGGTCGGCCTATCGGTATAATACTTCGTATAGGTATTATTCGAAAGAAATAGGCGCGTAAGCGCGAGCGATCTTAAATATTACTTCCTTAGAAAATTATTCTTCGTCCTCGGAAGTTTCCTTTTTTCCTTCTTTTTCTTTAACGTCCTTTATTTTTATATCTAACTCTTACTCGGGGGCGATAATAAGCGAAATTACGTTAAGTATTACGGTCGATAAGCCGGCGGAAGCGTTACTTATACCGGTTAAAATAATAAAAGGACTAATAGGTATAAAGCTAAGAGCGGATACGGTAAAAGCGGTCGATAGTTCGATAGCCGAAGGACTTACGCCTAGCTAGGTAAACTAACCGGAGTTAGTTACGTTTCGTTACGATTCTACGGTTTCGGGAACCGCGGGCATTTACTTCCTATCCTAATAAAAAGTTAGGAGCTTTTTTATTATCGTAACGAACTTAAGGACTTATAAGTAACGTTAACGAGTATTAAATAACGCGAAATAAAGCTTATATATCGATAAAACCTTCGATACGGGCGACGATAAGGTAGGTAGCCGGTAAAACTAAAGCGTCGGTCCTATATAATATTAACTTTAAACTTCGACGTACGAAGGTAAGAATACCTATAGAGATACGTAGGCGTAGCCGGATAAGTAGCGGTAGTAACGGCCGGTACTTTAGAAAGAATCGAAGTACTTTTTAATAAACCTATTCTAAGCCGTATTACGTACGTAACCTAAGTAAGGAATTATACGACGAGCTCCGTATTCTCGATTACGAATAATCGAAGTAGTTCCTAAGGCGACGGTAATAAAAGCGGAAGCGGTCGGCGCGACGGAGATATTAAACGGAACCGCCGAAGCGGCCGGGCTAAAGGAAATAACGGAAACGGTAATAACTCCGGGAACCGAAGAAACGCTACGGCCTCGTCCTTATCCTCGTTTTCGTCTTACGATATTATTACGAATCGAAATAATAATAATAACGGCCGCTTAGGTTACGCGAGTAACGGCGATATTATTAAAAAACGTAACTTAATATACGCGAGTTTAAGCTCGGGTTTTACGCGAGAAAACCTTACGAGTAATTAATATAACCGGGCGGTCGCCTTTTTCGATTACTCCTTCGTATAAGGAGGAAGAGTCTTCCTCGGAAGATTCCTCCTTAAAGGATTCGTCGATAAAGACCTTAATAACTTAGGATACGGTACCTTAAGAAACGCGAATAATTAAGGCTTAGATACGTTATACTAAAGCGCTAGGTACGATTATATCGACGTCGCTTTCGTCGATAAAAAGGTCCTTAAAGGGCTAAGCGATAACTAAGGCCCCGGACCCGGGAGTAAAGGATATCCTTTCGCGGCGAGTAAGGCTACCGGCCGAAGCTCTAACGTTATTCCCCGTACGAATACGGGAGATAGGCTAGGAGCTCGCGGCGGAAAAGCCGAGTATCCTTTACTCTAGCGAGGTTACGGTACTTTAAAGCGTTAGTATTATTTTACGAAGCTTTTAAGTATCGGATATACTAAGAAATCGTTAATTACGGTACTATATTATTACCGGTAGATAACGAATAAGTAATAAACGGATTATTTCGAATAACCTTTTATTTATTAATATAAAATAATTAACAATCGCTTTATTATCCTAGGATATTTTAATACTAAAAGTAATATATTAATCGTAAATAATAACCTTTATCGTAATAAGCTAAGTTATTATCCTACGGTCGTTTAATAAAAGTATATTACGATTCGTATAATACGCGAGTTACGCTTTACGTAAATTATAAAGGAAGCGGACTTACTTTACGATAATAAATTAACGAAGCTTTATTAATTATATTAGCTTACGATCGCGTAATTAATAGAATTATTTAATTATAGTTAAGGGTATATACCTATAATAAATAACCTAAAGAAGAAAAGAAGAAAAAGAGGTACGCTTAATTCGAAAGCGAGAAATCCTAGATATATTTATACTTAACCGCCTTCGTAAGAGAAACGGCAGAATCGGTTAGTATAGGTAACGCGCGCGAGCGTATACGATAGTAATAAAGGAGATTAAATCTTAATATTAATACTAAAGCTACTACTATTACTATTATATTACCTATATAGCTAACTACCGCTTAATCGAAAGCGAGTAATTATACGAATAATTATACGAGTAATTATTTTCATTTATAATAAACTATAGAGTATTAAGTAGGAGGTACGAAGAATATATAACTTAGGAGAAAATACTACTAGTAATAAACCGGAGCATATACGGATAAGGGAATATAGGGGAGCCCGAAATAAGGCACCTAGTAATCGATTAATCTTAACGAGGTATAGCGAGACTAGGGAATAACCCCTTAGGCTATTATCGCGAGTAAAGGATTATAGTTAACCTTACTATCGTAAGCTTAACTAGGGAGTATATTACGTAGGTATGTACCCTTAATAGGAACTACTTAGCTTACTTAAGTTAGCTAAGTACTACTATATATACCTATAGATCGCTCGATACTCTCTAATAGCTTTCCTTCTTTTCTAGTTAGTTAATATATACCTTCTTATCCTTATTCCATTACTTTCTTTGCGAATAACCTATTAACCTAAGCTTAGCTCTCGCTAGCTACGTAATATAATATTAGATACGAAAGCAGAATACTAGTATGGAAATAAGAAAGGAAAATAATCGTAAGACCTAAAAGATGAATAAATATGCGATACTTACTTACGTTAGAATAACCTAAGTAATAATAGCTCCTTATAAGTATCCCGGGCTTATAATTATTACGTAGCTAACGAGAATTACGTATATCTTACTAGATTACGCATAAAGGAAGTAATGGGATACAGGTAAGAAGGTATATATTAATTAATTAGAAAAGAAGGAAAGCTACTAGAGAGTATAAAGCAATCTATAGGTATATATAAAAGTACTTAATTAGCTTAGGTAACTTAGGTAGTTCCTACTAAGGGCGTATATCTACGTAATAATATACTAATCGGAAGACAGTAAATTTAATAATGAGAATAAATCTCAAATAAAGATAAAAATAATAAAGTTAATAATTTAATTAAGTAATAGTTATAGTATAATTCGTACTTACGAGAGTTATGGTTACTCTATATAGATATAAGGCCTATCGTAACGTATTACATAGTGTATTAAGAGAGTATGTCTTACCGTACTACTACAGTACTTTGAGGCCGAATTTATTAAACCCGAATCCGTCAGATAAGTCTTCTACCGTCAGTAGTCGGCAGTATAGAGCTATATCTTTAACGTTACTCTTAAAAACGAAGAGATTTATATAATTCTAGGCCGCTAGGTTCTCTAAATCTGCGTAACTAATGGGATTTACCGAGCTCTCAATTAGCCGTCGTCGAGGAATTTAATACCGTCGAAGTGTAGGGTTATTTAACTTAATTATAGCTTTGGGTAGGTTAGACACTGTACGTACTACAGTGAAAAGCGTTTCGCGAAACCTAAGCCCTCTAGAAGTCCACTGACCCTAGAGCCTGCCAACGGCTTTCAGACTTATAAGGCGCTTAGACTTAGCTATAGCAACGCGAATAAAGCGCTCCCATTCCTCTATCTCGTCGTCTTTCTAGGTTGTCTTCGGGATACTGTTCGCCTTAAAAGTTCTGTACGCCGCGTGTTCGTCAAGTATGACATGCTCGTACGTAGCGATCGGAAGTCGTAAATCGGCATGCCTTCGGAGCAGGCCATCTCGTGTCCTGGTATAAAGCCGATATTTGCCCACGTCGGTCTCGTGGTGGTGGATCCCTTCCTGAAACCGGGCGATTCCCTTGAGTTTATCGTCACCCAGCACGAGGGAGTCGTCCCCGAGTCCATTATCGGGTCCGGGTTCGGGCAACCCAGCCGTGGCGCGGACGCCTAACGAACGCATGCGCCATACTCACAGCAGTGATCAGCAGCTGCTGCTAGTCATCGGTAACCCACCTAAATTTGTGGGAAATCCACAAAGCTTGGTAGGCCCATCCCCGCAATTCTATTAGCCTGCCAGCCGCTGTACCTGAGCCTCGGCTTATTAACATCATTACGACCCGCGTTTCGGGCCTCCTTCTCTCGCGAGCCATGGAACCGTGGGGGGTTGCCAAGCTGGGCGTATTCCTGTCCCCAGCAGAGAGGCGGGGTACTGTATAGCATCACGTACTGTGAGAGCACCCTATAATATCGCGCGGTACGAGAACCCGCTCATCTATTCAACCGCTTAGGCTGGCTCTCTCCCAAGCGGCATATTCTTACCTAGGTATATTAAATACTATACGATCTATGAACGTCGACCGCGCCAATAAGCCTCGTCAGCGTAGAGTCGCAGGTACCCGCTGAGGAAGGTAGGTTAGGTAGATGCCCCCTCAAGAAGGTAAGTACCTAAGGTAGGTACCCCCCAAGGGAGGCAGGTACCGCCAAAGGCTGGAGGCAGGTACCTCCTAGCCCTCTCTCGGCCTTCTTAAAAGCCTCGCTCATCCCATTTCCATCTCTAACATTACATCCAATCCATCTACCTACCTGTCTGTATATATCCTCATTTACAGTAAGGCCATATCTGCTGCCATCGCATTTCCTCTGGCTTTTTCCCCTACCCTAGAAACCCGACCGCCTGGGTTCACCGAACACCATCAAAAACGCCTTAACCCGTATGCTGCCACGAGTATGTCCTCAACCACTCTCGCTACCCCTCCCAGTCCTTCTCGACGAGCCACTGATCCTCGAGCTTTAGAGCCGTCCCCTTCACGAGGTCGCAGTCTTGGTGGCCCCATTTCTGCCGGAATACCTCGCGGCCGGCCTCGGCCAGGATCCAGAATGACTTGGAAAACCCGTCCGAGTTGTAGTAGTACGGCTCTCCCACCCCGCCGCGCTGACTGCTCTGCCACGAGTTGCGTGCTTTGTTCTCGTCGCGGTACTTATACGCCCCCATGTCGTTCCCAACATTGACGAGCTCCCGAAAATACTCGATCGCCGTGGCGATGCTCGTGCCAGAGGCACCCTCGCGCCTATCGCCTCGTCGTCGTTGCGTCGACTTTTCATGACCCCCCCCTTCTCCCCTCCGTTCTCCGTCGGTTTTCTCTTCCTTAGCTTCCTCGTCGCCCTCGCGGCCTTCCCCGGCCGCCTCTTCCTGTTTTCCCCCCTCCGTCCCCGAAGACTCCCCAGGCATGTCCTCCGTCTCGGGGATCGGGTTCGGATCGATGAACTTAGGAGAGACGTTTGGGTCTCGATACAGTGCGGCGAGGTCCACTAACACGGTCGATACGTCATTTATGATGCCCACACGCCGATGTCTCATGCTCCACCCGTCCATCTCCAGCCTGGCATTCATATCGCAGTCGCTGCCATAATACGGCATCAGGGAGTCCCAGCCGCCCACCGCATCCAGCGCCGCTCTGTTTACCAGCGTCAAGTGGTCGTACTGAAACCAGCGGAATGCCCAGCGTTTATCGTGCTCTAGGGTTCGGTTGAGCTCGCGAAGGCAATTCTCGTAGATGGTGCGGTACCCACGCTGACCCGCGGCGGCCGGGCGCATGATATCCGTCTCGTCCTCCTCGTCGTAGAAGAACCAGTCTCGATCGCCGGGGCGCTTCATGGTGTCGGGACCATCCTCAAACGATAACACCAACACGTCTTGGTGAGAGTAAAAGTAGTACGGCCAGCTCCGGGAGTGGGCGGTTGACAGGAAGAAGTTCTGCATTTGCGAGAAAGTCAGCAAGACAGGGGTCTGTATGATGTTGACCCCTAGTCTGCGCAATACGACGTGGTTGAGGTAGAAAGGGTTTTGCAGGCTCAGTTTGTCCCTCGCGTTCGAATCTTGCACGCCTGTGTTTTCGACCACGAAGATGGACTCGGGTGGCCAGCCGGCCGTCAGGTAGCTGACGATGCACTGCAGGAGCATCGGCCACTGACGCGTGAACCCGATGAAGAGGGGCGGCATGTAAGACAGCCCATACTCTCGATGGAGTCCCGGGCGAGGAACGTTATATTCTGGTATAGGTGGCGCCGTTGCTGTCGACTTCGCAAGCAGCGGCCACGGATCGACCACAGATGGAGCGAGATAGGTCGGTGTCGGTTTGTATTTCGGGGGCGGATGCGTATTTGTCGGGCGGTGATTCTCGTGAGCGCCGGCCTTATCCGCGCCACCGCCGTGAATATTGGGGAGGTTCCGCAAGAAATTCTCCTTACTCCCTGCGCCATGGTACAGGGCTAGGGCCACGAGGGTGATGGCGAGCAGACTAACCGGAAGAACGATGGATCGCAAGCCTCGTGGGAAGCCGATGAGCGCCATGACAATGATAAGACGCGGGGGGGGGGAGAAGGTATGTCATGGACACAAATGAAACGAGATTAATGAAGCATCCTCCAGCTAATAATACCACTAACTAGTTCTAAGGCCTTCGCTGACAAAGAGTACAAAAAAAGGGAAACAAAAGCAAGGAGGCAGATGAATTTCTACCGAGTTCAGTGGGTAAGTTGTCCTTTGTATCTATCACAGGGATACTTCCCAAATCCCCTCTTAATCTTTCCTCAAACCGCGATGTGCATATACGTGGTTTTTTTTTCCTTTCGTTGATGTGTTTACATATATGTTCTCGTATAGGAAATGGGGGCTATGGCGCGTTGCGTTGCTTCATGCGGTAGATGGAAAACCGGCGTCATTAGTCGGCCTCATAGGCTGTTATCCCTCTTCCCCTGGCATCTCGTACCGCCTCAGAACACCCCAAACCATACTCTGGAACATGGCCAAACTAATTACCGACCCACGCAGACAGCGCGCCATTTTCCCACCGACCGTGTTACCCCCACTCATCCCTGGCCGCCCCTGTAATTAATACGACGGAGCAGCGCCTGGGTGAGGCGCCAACGCGGTCGCTAGCGAGTTGACGATTCTCGACGACAGAAGCGCAGCTACGTCGTCTCGGATTGAGATACGTTGTAGCCGATGGGAATAACGCAGCCCACGCAACTGAGAAATCCCAATTCAACCCATCCCTGTCCTGACCATGAACCCTCAACGCCGCCCACACTAACTGTCCACTAGCGCTCGATGCTGGTGTGTGCCGGTATGCCGAACAGGAAACCCTCCGGACGCCCCGAGCTTTGGTGGGCCGGTGGCATTTCCGCTCTCGTTTTTTGGGTGCTAGGCGATCTCATCTCGACGCCCAAGTTCCCCACGGCATTCGGGCTTCTTCATAGGCCACTGGTAGATATGCGCCAGCTACAGCACGAACGACCATCCATGAGTAGACATAAGGTGTGTCCCCGCACCTAGATCGTTGCGATCCTGGATGGATGGCCTGGGTTTCTCGCTGGCGGGCGGCCTTCCTACGACGGCGCATTTACGCTTGATTCGGTGCCCGGTGTCCTTTAGCCACGTACCTATTCGTATACCCTCACATCCCCCGCTGGGTACGTGTCTGCACGATTCATCGTCGAGCACCCGCATGGTTACGTCACTTGTGATCCGAGCACAACCGACGGGACCCTAACCAGCCCCAACATCTTATCCATATGAGCGTCCCGCTCTCCTTGCTTTCTCATGTGGCGTCTGTCCGTCTGGCAATTCGCGTAGCAGATGAGACACGAATAGCACGGTCTAGTGATGTTACTTGAGCATTGGTGCTTGGGCGAGTAGCTCCGGGACCGAGAATAATGCCGCCGGCGCGCGCCTGGACGGGGTGGATTCCCGGTGCTCGCACCTTCACATGCGCGAGAAATGACTCCTTGCCGTCGCCCCGGAATGTGGATATCTTTAAACCTCGCTAAGACGAAGAATCGTTCTCACATCGCACATCTTATCCAACCCAACCCACTAAGCTAACTGCTTAGTCGTGCGTGCTCGCGGCCTCGACACGAAAAGCGTAGCACGACGAATCGAGCCGGGACAGTCTCGCTCACTCATCGAATAAACTTACCACGCCAGAACAAAGCGGCGAGCTGAAACCTCAACTACCTAGATGAGTATCAGGACTCTCACGTGGGTGCCCGACACGAACCCTATTTCGCAGATCTCTACTAATTCATCAAGTAGTAGGCATACCTAGATTCCGTAGTCGCATGAAGAGAGATAGCCTCTGCTATGCTCATGTAGGCCTGTCCACAGCTGGTATTGCAAAAAGTCGGCCAGTCTGGGGGGCGGGAATCAAGCGTGCCAAGGGCCCATCAGAATCGGAGTGAGAACCATCTACATACGCCTCCGGCGCCGGCCTCCGCGATGTTTTCTTTTCGGAACTCTACTCGTACCTCAACCCGCTACACCGACAAACCTTAAAGAATATAGGAGGCGAACACGGGCGCATGCTGCTGGCGGCTGTTAGGGCTCCGAGACTGGAACCCGCCGGGGCCCACCGACTCAAACAGCAAAGGGACTCGTACATGCATAGGGACGAGGCCTCTCGCGCCTTGATGTGTTGATGACCACCGCTACGGACTATAGTGTCCGAAACCTTTCTGCAACATCGCAAACTTCCCTCCTCTCCGGTAGCCTTCTTTCGGTCAACCAATGATCCCGTGGCCATGCCTAGCTCAAGACCGTAAGGGTTGTGCTCTGTAGATGGAGAGCACGGCCTATATAACGCTTGTGTTCCCTCCGCTCCCCTAAGGAAAGCAATCTCCGCCTCGTTCCATATCGGTTGTGACATCTTACACCAGTGGCTAACCCAGCTAATCACATATCCTCAAGATCAACTTCGAAGCCAACTTCAAAATGGCTCAACCGACAAAGGCCTTTCAAATACTGGCCATTTGGAGTCTCTACCTGCTCGGCGCGGACGCCTACTGGCGCATGTCTTGTGGGGTGATACAGACCGGCCGCCTTGACCCCATTGCCTATCCAGGTGTTGTCTCGGATCATGTTCATAAGATCTCGGGTGCGAGCAACTTCGGCCCCTCTAACACATACGAGGACCTAGCTGCGTCGAGTTGCACTTCGTGCGACATCCAGGACGACAAGTCAGTGTACTGGACGCCGCAGCTCTACTACCAGCACGCCAACGGCAGCTTCGAGGAGGTTCCCAACAGCGGCACCACCATCTACTACCTTGGCCGCGGCGAAAACCGCTCCAACATCGAGCCCTTCCCACCCGGCTTCCGCATGATATCTGGCGACCCGTACCTGCGCGCCTACGACAACTCGCTCACCTACTCGAACATGGAGCGGGGCGTCGCGGGTCGCCCAATTTCCGACCGTACGTCCTTCCTCTGCCTTGACGGTTCGGCCCACGGGGAGGATAAATCCATGTCGCGCACAGATTGCAAGGACGGTATGCGCGCCCAGATTCACTTCCCCTCGTGCTGGGACGGACGAGACTATCAGGCCGACCAATCTCACGTGGCGCACATGTCGGACATCGATAACGGTGTTTGCCCGCCCTCGCATCCGCGGCAGCTAGCGCACCTGTTCTTCGAGGTCCTTTACGGCGTCAACGACGTGGAGAAAGAGCCTGACGGGAGGTTCGTCTTCTCGAACGGCGACCCCACGGGGTACAGCTTCCACGGCGACTTCATCAGCGGCTGGGACTCAGGCGTTCTAAAGGCGGCGCTAGACCAATGCATTAACACCGATAACGGCCTAGTCTCAGACTGCGCCCCCCTCGCCAAGTCCGCGACCTCCGTCAATTGCCCAGAGCGCGGCCCCATCGTCAACGAGCAAGTCAAGGGCATGCTGCAAGATCTCCCAGGCTGCAACCCGGTCACGCCGGGCCCCGAGCGGGTGTCTGCCGACCCATGTTCCAAGCCGCCCCCCTCCCTCAACAACGCCGGTCAATAGGGTCCCTCCGCCATGTTCAACCCCGAAATCGGCTAGAGGCTGCGCGGAAGCACCTTTTTACGCCGGGCGCGCCGTCGACAGCAATGCGAGATCGTCGAGCGGGCACTAGTTCGCGTCCGACGACATAGCCATCAAGCGGTGCGCCGCAGTCTGCCAGTCGGAGGGTTATCCGTCCGCCGGCCTCGAGTACGCGCGGGAGTGCTTCTGCGGCGACGAGGCGGCGCGACGCCGAAGACAGCCTACGCCAGCAACAGGACGCAGTGGTGCGGCGGGAGCGTAACTGCACGGCCGGCTAGCCAGGGGATACGATGGGGGTCACTTCAGTGTTGGTGTTTGCGTTCATGTTCGGTGGTCAGTTATCCTCGTTGAGGGAGTGAGGGGTCAAGGGTTCGGTGGTTTAGGCGTTGAGGATCCAGGTTGATGCCACATTTTGTTCTTGGGTTTTTTGGGGATCGAAGTCACCCCACGGGTTGGCACCTAACTCTAATCGTACTTATTACTTGGGGGTTCCTCTCTATGCTTTCCGATGCCTAGTGAAGGCACCAGTATCCCCCGTATCTCGGAAAGGCCTGACGGCCCTACGGCGTCTCCACCGGCTAGATTGCATATAGGCTGGTAAGCAGCGCCACGGCCTCGTACCCGGGTCAGTTGCCTATTAAAACGGATGCGCGCAGCTCGAACAGCCGGCATTATAGATTCCGCCCCTGAGACTACGATGTCTACGCCGGAGATATCGGCGACTTTCCGGCGCATAGCCGTTACGGAGCCGCGACCACGCCCTCCCTCCTCCGCCAACTACTCTTGACGGGGCAGAAAGAATAGGCGGTTCCGCGTACGTGAGCAGAATGAAGAGAGCGGGGAAAGCAGGGGAGAGGGGGGGGGGGGGGGGGGGGGGTAGAGGAGGAATCGTCGTGGACAACAAGGAGGGCGTGCGCAAAAAAGAGACACTGTCGTAAAGCCCGAAAGGAAATGAGTCTATCCGGGTATCAAGTATCAGTAATAAAAAAAATTGGACCCTCTCATCCTCCTCCTCCTCCGCCCGTCTTCCCCAGGCTCGCGCCGGAGCCCGGCACGGCCGTCATGACGACACCATCGTACACCAAGTCCCCAAGGGTTCGCCCCGTGTAAATCTGATACAATGGTCAACAGAGAAATCTTAACGCGGTTGATACGAGGTTCCTCCCAACCTCCACTGTCGAGCTTCTCGCCTATCCCAGCGTCTTCGGCCATCGCAGCCACGACCGCGGCAACGGTGCAGCGACGTTCCCCGCGCGTTCTTGGTCACCAAATAATAACATGTTAATATGGTTGTAGTCCAAGTGAAGCTACTTCCTCCTCCTCCCTTCCGGGTATTATTGTCCCGCTGGCGTCTTATTCCAAGCCTTCTGGCCCCTCCCCCCCCCCCCCTTCCCTTTCCTATCTTTATTCTGCCCCGCTCGCGCGCCGCGAACGCTGAGCTATGACCTCCCGTGCGTAAAACTCCACGAGCATCGTAGCGTATGCTTCCAAGTCCTCGACAGGAACAGCGAGTCGGAAGTCGTTCAGCAGGAGAAACTGGAGTTCGAGATGGTTTAATTCCGCCAACGGCAGACCACCGACCTATTTTTGGATCCGTTAGCTTCCGCCCACCAGAAAACCCAGGAACTCTTGGGAGCACAGCATGAAATGCGGCGAGATAGGATCAAGGATCCGGGCGCTACGACGTCAGGGAGGCGCTGGTAGGCCGCTACACACCTTGGCATATCTCGAATTAGTGTAGAAAACATCTGAGAAGAATTTGCTCGCGCAGGTGACACCCGCAATGATGAGACGGTGTATGTTGAAGCTGTCCACCACAAAATAAGTGGCCGGCGCTGAGAAAGATGGACTCGGCGATGCTACCATCCGTTTCTCTGCTTTACTCGCCTTCTCCCTCTCCTCCTCCTCTTCGTCATCGTCGTCATCGACGAGTTCGGATTCGGCCTCGTCATCTCTGCCATCCTCGCCCCGTATTCCGTTGTCGGCGTTGCGTCCCGACTTGGATTCTACCATTGCGAGTTGGGATTTCTGAGCTTCATGGAGCTTCGATTGCCGCCGTGCCGACTCTGCCTCCATGACCATATTGTTGACCCGTTCTGTCATCCGATCGAAATACACTAGGAGGCTGAGGAACACCTCGTATGTGGTTGGGCAATACTTGTGAATTCTACTCAAGTAACTGAGGATCGTGATCGCCGGCACGTTTTTGCCGTGAAACGCAAGCACGGAACTGCTGAGAGGACTCATCGAGGCGCCGTCGCAGCTGTGACTAGCCGCAGTCTGCTGATGCGTGACGTTTCGATGGAGGGCATCGTGCTGTAAGTCGTTCGTGGTCGTAATCTTGGTAAGGAGAGCGGCAACCATCTCGATAATATCGCCTATAGGCATTCCACTAATTTCATACTTCATCGCTTGTAGCGGCGTGTCGTTCAATATCCCTGGCCCGTTACCACCGTTCATGAGGTCGGCCCTAGCAAGACTCTGGATGTGTGCGAGATCGCGCACGTAGATAGTTTTGCCCTGCGGCGAGGCGGCAGCATCATCGGGCTGGGCGCGTGGGGGCGGGGAGCCGTACGAATCGGAATCGGGAGAGGGCTGCTGACGAGTAGGCGTAGGCGTAAAGCTAGTTACTGCTGCCGCAGTGGACTGGGTCTCCGATGCCATGTATTCTGACGATGGACACGTCGCATTCTGCGTTTTGGAGCGTACGGAGGCAGAGTTCGGCGAGGAGGATTCGGGGGGTGTGGGAAATCGCGAGGCGCCACCGGTGGATGAGATATGCCTCTCTTCTTTCCCCGTCTCCGTGGCCTCCCAAGATCGCTTCGACGGGGTGGCGCTCGATGCCGAAGGCCGGTATGAGGCAGAGACGGCGGGGGAATATACTCTCTGAGATGGTGTTTCGCGCGGCCGGTTCCTGGATTCTGATCGGAAGGACGGTTCGCGGGGTCTGTTGTGGTCGTGGGGCAAACCCGAGGTTGCGATCAGGTTGTGGAGGCGTGGGTGATCCGTGACGAGGTCCCCCATTACAGTGGCCATTGCATCGTTTCACGCGAGCCGTGGAGGGATGTATTTGCGAGTATGGTGGAGAGACGATGGCCACGGAAAGTTATTAAAAAAAATATAAATAATAAACGAAAAACCTATATAGTAAGCGAGCACGCAAATTAGTGACTCAATGCTGCGGTTCCCGTCGCAGAGTATTGGGCTGCCTTTGTGGAGCGAAAGGGAACGCATTCGACAGTCGTGAGCATATAGCGACTGATGAATGGGTGTGTATGAGTGCGTGTATGGGTATGTATGTGTAGGTGTCTGTACGTAGAGGCATCCGTGCCATCGTGAGTACCGATAAGTTTAGCCCTGCTGGATGGAGCCTTGCTCGGGTGTTGAAAAATATCCAGGAGAGGCTTGTTGGGTCTTGCGTTGATTTTGAGTCGTCTAGGACGGGGGTGGGGAAGCGGGTAAACAAGAGAAGTGAACTCGTTCGGGTCACAATTTCAGACAGCCCAACGGGGCCCATGCTGAGACAGATAAGGCCAGAGGCCAGCCAGAAATAGGTGTGGAACGGCGGCAGTAGGAAGTGAACCTCCCCTAACCTCGTCCGCCGTTCTCTCTCCCCACGCCCCCCCCGTCCCGCGTCCACACACACGTAGTCCGACGAACGATATGCAGTATTGACGTATAGAGAACAGTAGCAGATCCTCGAGGGGGTTTCCGGCCTAGGTTGGCTACTCCCAGGCGAAAGCGGAGGAAGGTAAAATGAACTGGAACGCGCGTGGGCGACGGAGAGAAAAAGTGGGAGGTGGCCAGACCGGGGGGGCTGTAGTTTGAGACAGGCGACGCGGAACGAAGTCGGTGTTGGAATGACGGGGAACGCCTGTCCTAATCGTCTGCCCCGTGCTCCTCGCCTGCTACTCCCCTCACCGGCCAATTCCAAGGCATGCTTCACGACTTTCACGAGGCATCAACAACATCTTTGCTGGCATGGTCCAACGACAGACGCAGATACCACGCCAAACCGAGACAAGACAAAACAAGCAGACAGACAGACAGGCAGGCAGGCAGGCAGGCAGAAGGCAGGCGAGCAGGCAGACGGGCGGCGGGATAATGCGAGGGACGTAGAAACAACCGCCCAGGAGACAATTGGCAGACGCGACGGCGAAGAGAGTGAGGATGAACAAGGATTGAGAGCGGGAGGTTCGAGAAGACGTGAAATCAGAATGCTTACCTGTTCCTATTATAATACCGATCCGATCAGGATGACGTTTTGGTCGTAAGCAGAGCCGGCGCAATTACGAGTATCGCCAGCCAGCGGCTATCGAATGCGCGATGGGCGACGACGGTGCCTTTGCAACGGTGCCCTTTTCCCTTCTGTTTTCCCCTCGCCCTTTGCGGCTTCTTCTCCCCGTCGAGAAAAAAAAAACAACACTCAGCCCCAGATAGGGAGTCAATGCCAACGACGGACCAGCCAATACAGCGAAATTTTCAAAACGTAATCTGTCCGCTCGCGGCCGCGTATCGCGAGTTGCTGCCAATCCTAGCACGACAAAGACAAAGAACCGATAAGCAAGTTCGCGGCAGATATCATGGGATCAATCCTATCGCAGGTTCGATAGGCGCCCTCTTAATTCTTCTGGCCGACAGCATGTATGGTTAATGAATTGAGTGGGGGTTCAACGTGGTTTAGTTGTCGATTCGGTTGTTCTGTCGACAGTGGTAACAACCGCTGTGGACAGAGGCGTCGGATGAGGAGGCAGCAGTAGGAGAGAGAGGTAAGTAACAGAAAGGTAGAAATGAGCCGGGCTGAGCAGAGTGGGAGTAGATGAGCGGCCGAAATGGGGCGTTATGCACCAGGCAGGTTAGGTACCTACGTAGGGAATGCGCAGGTCGGGGCTTTGGCAGTGCCACGGGCGATTAATCGGTTGCTGCGGTTGGTGGTGCGATTGGCCGCTGAGAAGGGATGCCTCTAGGAATAGGTACCATGCGGGCAGGCTTGCGTGTGTACCTGTACCGACGTAAAGTAACGTGGCCGCAGCAGCAACGCAGGCCAACCAGAGACAGGTACCTCCGCTAGAGAGGTCGGTACGTAGATGTGTGCGATTTGTAGATCAGCGCATGTACCTCGCGATGAGGTCCCATCCCATCGCGAAGGTCAAGTCGAGAAGGGATAGGACGGACGACAACGCCACCCGCTTAGGGATACCTATCCCCTAATCTCCCACCTTACACTACGGGCAGGCAAGTCAGGTACCTAATCCAACGTCAACAGCTTTGCCATCATCAATATCCCGTCATACGCATAACCATAGGTATGTACATAACCTAATACGCATAATCCAATGTACCTACCTAAGGTGTCGTATTAGTGCGCCGGAAAAGCATTTCTCATACCTCCATACACGCACCTACCTTACTACCTACATAGATGGCGTTAGTTGTCAATCGGCCCAGACAATCTTAATTAATTGAGTGACGGATTCGTCGGCGCATGCAGCTGTCCTGCCGCTCGGCCAGTCATTTGCCATGTACGTAGTATCGACGATCGCCTCAAGCCACGCCGAATCCACGCGGCGAATAAAATTAACGTCAATCTTATACCCAGATCAATCACATAAAAGCAAGCCGATCCGACGGAGCAATCGTGCAACCACGATGGTGGAACCAAGGGAAAGGAGAGAGGAGGAGACAACACGCCATCAGCGTTAGTGTTGCTCGAGGATTTGAGAAAGAGAGAGAGAGAGAGCTTCTAGGTGAAAAAAGAAAGGGACAAGCGAAACAGAGGCGGCGACGACCTAGAGGTGACGACGATCCTGGTAATCAAGGCGACGCCTTGTATTTGGCGCCACGGAACGCGGAGCTTTGGTAACCAGGGAAAAAAAAGAGGGAAGGGGAGGCGGCAACGAGCAAGATGATGTGCGACAGACTGAAAATAGACGAAGAGTGCAGGGCCAGTCTTCTTTTCTCTCTCCTCGTATCTCCCCCTCCCTCCTCTGCCCTCTTTTTTTTTTCTCTCTTCTCACTCTGACCCCCCTCCCCATCCCTCCTCGCGGGAGAAGGCCAATATCACTCGCCGTGTCCGTCCTCGCTTCGCAGCACGTGTTCGCGATACCTGGGATGGGTGGATGGACGCATGCGCGTGGAGCCTGGCCAAGAGATGGGCACGTAAGTAGCCCAAGCAGCCTGACTCGAAGCTCCCGAGCTGCAGGCAGTTGGTAGGTAGATGCCTGCCAAAAATACCATTATACCGGGGCAGGAGAGAGGAAATAAGAGACGCTGACTGCTAGCTCACGTCGATATCATACAATATTTACCTACGTCCTTACGCACGCATACGGACGGATTCCACACCAAGAGTAACTCCCTCCGCCACGGCTAACAGCATCTACTCCGTGCCTTGGTGCTGTTGCCAGTGTAGGTTGGGGGAGGGTGAACGGACTACTTTTGCTTTTCGTCTCTCTATCACATTTCCTCTTGGCAGTCTTGAGGGGAGACTTCGATATCTCGGACTCTTACACGTTACTTACGGTGAGGTTGTCTTCGAGCCCACCACCCCCCCCTTTTTATTTTATTTTAGTTATTTTATTTCATAAACACACGTGGTGGTACAAGCGGTCGGACGACTCGAAGCACCCACGCAACTAGGGCCGGAAGACGACGACGAGAACACGCAGATTGGCTGAAGCTGGCCGCATCCACGCGATCCCTTCGTGGGGACTACGTCATCTGCCTGCGCTCCGGTGCCATCCGGACTCGCATCCGTATACCTACTCAGACGCCCCGAGGGTGTGCTAGAATCGATAAGCTGAGAGCGGCTGGCTAGTATGGAGCCCTCGCTTGCAACATGCCTGGGGACGCCGCCAGCTCAACCTTGACCGAGTCAGTCGATCATCGGCTGCAAGTCATGAATGTTGTCTCAACAAGTTCAGCTGGTGCCCTCCCCGCGTTGGCCCCGGAGAACGCGGGATGCCAGCCCGGGTTTAGCAGCGAGAAGGGTTTCGAGAGAAGATGACGAGTGTGAACGTCCCGATTACTAATGGGCTTCTGCTGCGGAAATCCCGAAGCTATCTCTCGACGCCCGTGATTCAGGGCACCGACCTCGGCCCCTTTCTCGCCGCCTTTCCCGGGCCAGCAACGGCGCCCTCCCACCTCCCATAAACCCAAGCTTCATGTCAACGTGAACGTATAGGTATATCCCCTCGGCCAAGAAGTGTTGGTCCAAAGTCCTGGTACAGATTACTCAGCATACCCCCTCCCACCCGTCCACCTCCCCCCATCCTGCCCTAGACTTGTCCCCTAGGACATCATCATATCCCGCATGGACTCCCTGTGCCAAGGGTCTATCGACGGCGGGTGCACGATCCCATTCCTTCCATCAACCCTGTCCCGTGGTCCTTGGAGCGGCTGACGTGTGCCCGTTCCAGGAACCGACAGGATGGCATCATACCACGACGAGCTTTATGTACTCGCGCCTTTTTTCACCCGTCGCCTCCAGATAGAAGAAAATCAACTACCCCTCCTCCTCGCCCCAGTCCCCGTCCCCCCCCCTCCCCCTCCCCAAAAGAGGGAAACTTATTGCTGAGATAAGAAAACAAGGGACGGAACGAGCCTTTCTAGCTCGACTACTACTCTCCTCTTCCCACCCGACGCATCTGATCACCTACCTCCCTCCCCCTGTTGCTGGTCGAACTAGGGTGTTGCCGGGGAGAGGGGACAGAAAATGCCCCTGCCAGTACCGTGGTTCGGATATGACTTAAGCCACCTTCAAGCAAAGCAACTAGGTACATGTGCACCTCTCACATCCCACAACCACAACCATTCTCCTTTCCCTCTCTCCTCCGTCTCTCTCTCTCTCTCGTTCTCTCTGCGCGTGTTGCGTTTCATTTTTAGGCTGAAATGGGCTCGACCAATCCCCGTCCGCACTGCACGAGCGAGACGGAGACCCGAAGTGGAGAGATTATAAGGTCGTAGTAACACCTAATAGAAAAAGGGGCGTGTGTGTGTGTGTGTTGCCCACAGTAGAAATCTCAGCATTCTTTTCGAAACGGTAGATAGGCTTTGGCGGGGAGAGGGGAGCGGAGGAGGAGGCACCCCTATCTATCTCGTCTCCCGTCGTGATTCTACCTACCTCTCTACCTACCTACCCTGCGCAACACGGGTACGTGTCTACTGCACATCACGGAGTGCCAACGTAGCACCGGTGACGATGGGCCACGGGCGCGGGGCGGGACGGCGAGTTATCGCGCGCCTATAGTGTTGGGCCGGACGGGAGACACGGTGTGGTGTCGCGTATTATGCCATGGAACTACAACCCCAGGCTCGCTCGCGACCCCCGGCCCTCTTCTCTCTCTATCCCTCCCCCTCTCTCTCTCTGTCCGGCATTAACATCTCTGGCCTCCCGACTATCGGAGAGGCCGCGACAGACCGGAGACTTGTCCTTTTCGACGGCGACGCTGCCGCGCGCGGAAGTGCGAAGCTGAGGCGTCGGAAAGAGAGGCGAGGGAAAGGGGGGGAGGGGGGGGCGCGATGCCCCCAGTCCTCGCAATGCGCACCCTCCTCCGCCCTGCGATCTTCGCGACAACACCCACCCAAACCAACCTCCCGTCATCCGCAGACGACTTAGCCAGGTCCCACACCACCTCGGCGCCCACTGGACCCGGCTCATCCCGACGTCGAGCAGGCCTACGTGCCTACCTACCTATGTACATTTATCTATTTGTAAAGCCGGCCGCAACCTCGATGATGTAGCGCGCTCATCGCCCTCCCACCCCCCCCCCCCCCTTCCCTCGCTTGCGCGACGCACATGGCGCGCTTTACGCAACGGCACCGGCGAGTTAATTGGGAGATTGATATAATGATATAAATAAAAAAAACGAAATGTAGAAAGAAAAGAAGGAAATTTATAGGTAGCTCAACTTCACCTCTTCGGTATTCCGATCTTCTTCTTCGCCGCCCTTACGTCTCCTCCCTCAGATGTCATGGGATACTTATGGACCTCCCCCCCTCCTCGCCCCCCTCCCCTCCCCTCCCCGCATTATATATAGACCCCTCCCGTTTTCCGCTCCGTTGCTCGCTCGCTCGCTCGCCCCCCCGGACCCCTAACGTCCCTAACGTCCCCCCTTTTCCTGCGTTCGTATTTGCGCCTACTACTCCGATCGGTCGATTTGCTCATCTGTATTGTGATGCGTGCATGTGTGGATAGTGAAGTCAACGGGGCTCGACCCTTTTTCGCCCCGTTTTACTACGCATGTCCGCGCGCATCGCGCCTACGTGTCTATGTGATCACCATTGCAATGCTGCTTTGTGTAATTCGTTCGACTCATAGAGGTATGGCGTACATTGCGGCGTGTCTACCCGTCATAACCGCCGGCGCCGCCACCAAGCTACGGCGCGCGCACTCGCGACAACATGGTTATTTGTGCGCGTGGTAATACCATACAGGTAGGAGGCATCGTGGGCATGCCCGACCCTTGTCCCACATTTGGGTCTTCTCCCCTTGCTCCCTGGTGGTTTGTCCGTCTTTGCCCACGGCCACTGAGCCGGCCGAGCCACTCACCGCTTCTACGCCTATGATCAGTGGCGCACCGCGTATTTCTCGTCGGGCAGATACAGGTGTCGGTCTGCCCCTTTCTTCGTCAGGACGACCAGGCGGATCACGCCGCCGGAGCTCCCGTCCCACTTGATGGCCTCGTTCAGGGCGCCCTTGACGAAGTTGATGGCGTCCTGCTCCTCCATGCCCTCCCTCCAGTTGGCGTCGCAGTAGCCGTAGATGTAGGTCGAGCCGGAGCCGCCGATCGAGTAGGCCTGCTTGTGCAGAGAGCCGCCCAGCGGGATGGCGTAGACTTGGCCGCCGTGCCGTTCGTCCCAGCCCGCGATGATCAAGCCCGCGCTGTTGAGCAGTCTCCGTTAGCGACCTGATCTCCCCCCCCCCCCCGCACACCGACACTTTCGCGATCGGTAGAGGCTGGAGTATTTATTTACCTCAGCTGGTCCTTGTTGACGTAGCAGATCTCCTGGAAGATGGCCGCGGCCGTCTGCGTAGTGGGCGGCTCGCCATTCTGCATCGAGAAGAGGCCGAGCTGGTACTGCACGATGTCTGCCACGGCCTGCGTGTCGGCCGCCGACCCGGACCGGCAGCACCAGATGGTGTCGTGCACCCGCGTCAGCTTGTCCGTGACCCGGTTTGCGATGTACGCGCCGGTCGTGGTTCTCGAGTCCGCGCCTGAGTAACGGTCGTAGCGTTAGCGTGGTTACGTATCAGCGGGTTGGTAAGAGGTCGCCGCCGCGAGGACGCACCGAGAATCACGCCGTCTTTGAATGTCACGGCCATACTGTATGTAGCCCGAGGTTAATCTCGGCTGTCGCCAACAACAAGCAGCTTGGAAAGGTTGTGCCTACATCGAGGTGCCGAGACTGGCAGACACAGACGATTAGTTTTCGAATTCTGCTCCCGCGGGCCGGTGCTCAGCACTTACTTGACCTCCCCCTTCTTTAGTCTGTCCATATCCACGTGGATCCCATCTACTCGGGCCGTTGGTCAGCCCATATCCGCTGCGTTCGTATCGAGGGCTCACATACCCTCATTCAAAACGCCCCGCGTGCCGAAGTCCATGGTGAGGACACTGGTACTAGTAGTCGGAAGACAATGCGCTCGTCGGGAGGGGGGAATTCGGACGCTGTGGGGGTCTAGGGGAAGAGGCTCGTCGCTTCAGGTTTGTCGTGCGGATAGAATCGATTGCGGGCAGCTCGGTTGATACAGGCAGGATGGAAGAGCTCCTCGACGGTTATTTGACTTAAAGCTCAAGGCAGCTTCGACGCGCAAGGCTTACCTAAAGTAGGAGGTATTTGGTTGGCGTGGTACGTGGATACCTCTCCATAAAGACCGAGCATGGTCGAGATAAGAGTCACGTGTCTTCTGTCATACGTAATCCTTATAGTAAGGTAGGCACCTCGAGGTCGCTATATTCACTTCATGTACCGGCTCGTGGATGCATCCAACGGATCGCCGGGATATGCAGGGGGGTTCCAGGCATGGTTGTGCTCTTCATATTCGGTATAATAATGACATATTGTCCGTAGCTTTGCTATGTTCATGCTCGGCTTCTACTCACACGCCTCAAAGGGCACGATCTATGAACTAAGGGTAACTGCGCTTACGGTCTCCTGGCTTATACCAAGCTGAGATCTATAAAATATAGCCGTGCGCGCATACCAATCTCTATAAACAGTGACCAGGGACTCCGCTCGGTACGCCGTATATGCAAAATCTTGACGCCGTAGGATAGCATGCTTAGCCGCCCTTGGTCAACCTACGAGACGGGATTAGCATACGCCGCTAGATCGATGCACGCCCGCGGCGATAGAATCGTGGGTGCTCACCCTTCCTTCTCTAGTTTCAGCTCCGCCACGCCTTCCGAGCCCTCCTTTGCCGCGCCTTTCTTGTCGTCGTCCCCGCAGCCGCAGTCGTAGAAGTCGCCGATGTTGTTGCAGTCGAACAGGGGCTTCTTCAGCCTTTCGTTGACCTGGTTGTGCACGAAGCAAGCCCACCCGGCTGCCGAGTTGCGCGAGCCGACCTGCGGCGGATACTGGGCGAGCAGCTTTTGGAAATGGCGCGCGCAGTCGCCGCACGGGTACAGGCGCGAGAACAGCTGGATGAAGGTCTTGAGCGCGAGAGAGTCTTCTTCGGTCGGCTTCTCTGGGAAACGCGCCATCATCGTATGGAGGAACTTCCAGGTTGAGCGGCCCAGCTCGGCCCTGTAGGATCAACACAGGTTAGTGGGGTCTGCTTCGCTGCGACGTGGTTCGGGTGGAGAAATTCTAATGATCTCGCGGGCGCTGGGCGTTCGAGCCTGGCGCAGATCAAGGTGGGTGTCGACGGGAAGTGAACGGAGGTACAGACTTGATCGTGGCATTCTCGAGTTTGGGGGCTATCGCGTCCCCTGTTAAGATATTGGTAGGCAGCGACGCGAAATCCGAGTTCAACTTCGCATCGGTCTTGACGTCTGGTTTGGTGTATGGTTTCTCCGCTTCTATCGATTCGACTTTCGTAGGGGCCTTAGTATCTGGTGGTACCGGCGCCGGACGGGGTGGACGCTCCGCCACGCCTTTTACTGGCAAGGCCTGTCGTATCTGCTCTGACCTGTCGCTAAACGACGTCATGAAGGACATGACAATGAACGCGGCTATCACTAGGATAACGATGACAGACAGGTGTCTCGCCATTTCAGCGCGAAGGGGGGGGGGGGGGGGAAGCAAGAGTGCTTAGCGTGGGAGGATGAATTCGGGTCGCGTCCCGAGGAGGCCGACTGTCCAAAAAGAAAAGGTCGTCGTAGGTAGGATGTTAGAATTATTAGAGGACAACGAGCGACCTAGTATGTGAGCGGAACATTGAAGAGGTCGCCGGCTTGGTTGAGGGGACAGCGCCGGGAGGCAGATAAGCGATGATTTGTTTTATGGCCTGAGGTTGACAACCATTCGGTGACGATTCAGGGGTGATGGTTTCGAGGGTCCAATGGTGTGGCGTGGCGTGGTGTACGTAGGTAGGTAGTATGCTGGCTTTGGCGCCGTGAACCAGGATAGGCTATTCCCACAGCGAGGCCGTGCGGGACAAGGGACAAGGCTGGCCCCGACGCCTGTTCATTAGATAATCACCTAATCACTCATCGCCTTGGACCCCTTTTTATGGGTCGATCGGGTCAACCGTCGGCGCTCTCCATCCAATAGGGCAGTGTCCCGAGCGATAGGTAGAGGTAGGAGGTACCTAGGTAGGCATGTTAGATACCTGCGACATAGGTGTAGATGCCCAGATATCTTAGGTATCCACCCACCCTGGACTGGTACCTCTCAGCTAAGCTTTCAGGGTCCGAAAGCACCCGGGATCCATTTCGGTGCGTGGCGCTGATGCAGGTACCTCTTGTACAAGACCTCCAGGGAGAGGAGGCACCTGAGGTACCCAGCTTAGGAGGTTAGGTAGGTTAGGTACCCCAGCTTTCTACCAACGTGCCTCCAACGTCCTACTATACTCGTTGTGATATGGGATATCAAGCCGTCATGGGAGGAATAGACAATGTCAGTTTCTAGGTATCGCGTGCTAATCGCCATGAGGTTTGATCTACGAAGAAGGGGGAGGGGGAGGGGGAGGGGAAATCTCGAAAAGATCAACGCGACGAACACCCCCCAGCCTACTCGATACAACAGCGTCGATGCGTCGTCCATCGGGAGCTCGGACCATCAGACCCCTTTCACACCCCAGGCTCGGCGGTGTTGCATGCTGTGGGTTCTGTCAGGTCTCCTCGTCGACATGCTCGGATTTTGACGTGCCGTCCTCCCGTCCTTGGGAGGGGAAACACACTGCTATCTGAATCTATCCCACCGCGCGAGAGAAGACGCAAGTGGCACGGCATAAGACGACGCCTGGCTCCCGAGCAGCTGATAGGCTTCGACCAAGCAGGCTCTTAGCCGACGCTCGGGATCCGAGGCATTGGCTAGGTAGGCAATGCGTGCGAAGAAGATCTCTCGCCAACTGCCGGACCGCTAGCCTGTCAGTCGACACGTTCCTCCCACCTCCTCCCTCGGGGGTTAAATGGACACCATCACGTCGACGTCGAACCCCTGCAGGCCCGCTCCGGGTGAATGGCAAGGGCCCGCTTCTCGTGCTGCTCACGGGCGCTCGCTTGGATCTTCCGCAAAGGGTTCGTCATACGCGCGTTCTACCTACCTACCTCGTGTCGTGGTCCCCGCGTAACCGTTCGACCTTCGACGGTAGGGTTCGAAAGTGGTAGCTGGGTCGCGAGGCATGTCAGCAGCCAGATATGTCATCCTATTCGCGCTCTCGTATTCGCGCTATATTCCCTTTGCGTTTTGGTTATCTAGCGCCGGTGCATAATGATGAGCGCTGCGGAACCGCCTCCCGCCCCCCGTATTCTGCGAACGGCATATCCATTCGTCAGCAAGTAAAACGCGCCCATTCCGACCGGGGTTGCAGGTTCATTGTCGAGTTAGAGTCATTTGATTACTGTATCTTACAGAACGGCTGTTCTAGCTTCATCTATGTGAGCATGAACCCCAACGCTGGCTGGCAAGTAACTCTCAATTATGCCCAACGGGAAGAAGAAAAGGGTCCACGGCTTGTTCGCTCAGCCCTTCTTCGTCGTGGCGTCCTCGACAGGACTCCACCACAACGCTTTAAGGACCAGATAGAAAAGGGGGAGCAACCCGTTTTTTTATCGTACTTATTTACATTTAAATATGGCACTGCGGCTAAATCGTGTCACGGATGTGGGCTTTCGTTCTGAAAGACGGTATAGGTACATATGGTAGTTACTTCTGCCTTCTTAGGCTATGAAGAACCGCGGGGGACCGGGATCGATGCCAAGATAAGACGTGCTCCAAAAACCGCACATCTTTCTCGTTCTCCTTCTCGCCCCCCTCGTGCGTGACCTTCTCCAACTTTGCTTCCACCTTTAACCGCTGGGGTTGCCGTTGAAGGCGAGCAGGTTGACGGTGCCGCTGGGGATACCGGTGACGATGCCAGAGTTGGCGGTCGAGGCAATGTAGCTGCAGAGCGCCTGGGGGGTTCGGCTGCCGAGGAGGGCTAGGAGGTAGGCACCGAGACCGGCAACGTGAGGGGTGGCCATGGAGGTACCGGAGATGGTGTTCTATAGCGAAGAGTCAGTAACCAAACAGTGAAGAGGGGAGCAAGAGTTCAAGACATACGGTGCCACCGTTGTTCCAGGTCGAGAGGATGCTGGAGCCAGGGGCGAAGACGTCGACGACGCTGCCGTAGTTGGAGTAGCTGGCACGGGCGTCGGACGAGGTCGTGGCGCCGACGGTGCAGACGGTGGGTTCAGAGGCGGGCGAGGTGTTGGCGGCGTTCGCGTTGTCGTTGCCGGCGGCGACGGCAAGGAAGACACCAGCGTTGATCATGGCCCTAGCAGCGCTGTTGATCGAGGTCGAAGTGCCACCACCGAGAGACATGTTGGCGACGACGCCAGCGGGGCAGCTTCGGGTCTGGGAGTCGGAGGTGACGAAGTTCATGCCGGCGATGACGCCGGAGGTGGTGCCGGAGCCGCTGGAGTTGAGGACCTTGACGGCGTACAGCTTGGTCTGCTTCGCAACACCATACGTCCTGCTTCCCTATAAGGCGGAGCTGTTTAGCATACCCAATCGGCCAAAGGGGGGGGAGAACTACAATCGTGCCGGCAACGTGGGTGCCGTGGCCGTTGCCATCGGTGCTGGAGCTGTCGACGTAGTTGGCCAAGAACTCAGCGCGGCCCTCGAATTCCTAAGAATATCGTTAGATCCTAGTCCCAATGACCGTCGTGTTACAGGCGAGGCATACCGAGTGCGCGGTGTAGATACCGGTGTCGATGATGTAGGCGCAGGTCCCGGCGCCAGCACTGGAGTCGTAGACGTAGCCGTTGGTGCCGGTCCTGTGGGAGAGACGCGAGATGCCCCACGTGGCGCCGGTCTGGGTGGTGTAGGCGTTGATGCTCATGATGGCATCCTGCTCGATGAACTCGACCTGAGGGGCAGTTAGACAGCCTGCTACGCTCCCGCGCTTCCAACGCTGATCATTCACGTACGTCGGGGTGGTTCTGCAGCTTCTCGAGGTCCTCGGCCGTCAGGGTGGAGGCAAAGCCCTTGAAGCCCTCGACGTTGTAGACGTGGTCGGCATCAGCCTTGAAGATGCCCATGGTGTCATCAAGAGCAGAGACGGCGGCATTGTCGTACAGCTTGACGATGTACTTGCCCTCGACGAGCTGGGTAGTCCGCGGCTTGAGCAGAGGAGCTGGCGTAGCCCGCTTCGCGGGGGCCGCGAATGCCAGAGGCAGGAGAGACAGGAAAGCTGCGGTACGCATATTGAACCAGGTCGAGGTGGCAAGGCGAAGGAAATGGTCAGGCTGTCTGAAGAGGGCTCTTCTTGACTGATGGAGAGGGAGAAGAGACTACATGCTCAACTTGACGACGGGACGGCTGCTATTTATCGTCGAGTCGTCTCGGGCTGAACTTGACCATATCTCGTGCTTCGCCGATCTTAACCTTCCCGAGAGGGAAAGTCGCAGATCTCCTATACACCCAGCGTCTTACTCGGCGCTATAGTCGGAGGAGAGGCTAGATGACGACGTAGTTGGCAATCAGGGCCATCCCGCGAGGTACTGACCGGCAAACGCCGGAGGGGACCTTGCTGAGCTGGGGAAGCTCTCCCCCCCTCTAATCTCTCCCTCCCTACCTTATCTGCGAATCCCTGCGGGTTGGCGGAGGGCGGCCTAGCCCTGCCCTGTATGTTATGCAGGACAAGCTCTCCGAGCTGCCATGGGCTGGGGAAGCGCGGGAGTTCCCAGAGCTTGTTTTTCTTGGAGTGAAGACATCGAGCCCATACCGCATTCGTAAGGAGGGATCAGCGGCGGGCAAGGTGCCAGGGGCTTAGGCCGTGGCACTTCGAAGCAAGCCGAGATCTAACTAAGGACGGGATGGCACGCAAGGATCAGAGGGATGAGGTTGAGTTAGGGTGAGGATAGGTACAGGTAAGAGAGCCCTTTGGCTTTGGGCAGCCGGTTGCAACACAGGCTAAGCAGGCGAACCCAACGACATGGGGCAGGAAAATCTACCTACTAGACAGTGGCATCACGAGGTTGCACCTATCTACAAGTCGTGCCAAGCCGGTCGTCCTGGCGCCAGAAGAGGTCTCGAGCTCGGATCGCATGGCGCTCAGTTCGCGGCCTTCCTCATCTGGAAATCAGCCCCCCTCCTCTTTATCAAGGCATATAAACAGAGGCCAAGACCGAGCTCGTTTCTAGTTCCAGATGTGTACATACTTACGCGTACTCTATGTGCATACGTAGAATGTCCCTGGCCCGGTTCGGCGACAATGACTGGCCAGCCAAGCCGTCGTTTATGTTGGTACCAGCAGCAAGATAGCAATCCCCCACCTCCCTGGCCCTCCCCTGGGCCGTGTCTGTATGCGTGTGCAGCAGGCCGGGCCGTTGTCGAGAGATATCGGCACTACATAGCAGGACTCTGTCCTATCTCCGAGAGGCCAGGCTGACCATGTCATGTACCTACCTACTTGTTGTCAACCTGGTCCTCAGTTGTCTCCAGCGCGCTCGATCATGCCTGTCTCGCCCACAGCGACAGGCGGAACAGGCTGGTCGACCTGCCCAGTCGGTAATATCGAGCTGGCAGACCAAGCGCACCTATCTAAGATCCGCACCACCCTCGGAGCTGGATGCCGTTTGTGGCTGCTTAACAGCTGGAACTTTTGCCTGCCAGTCCCATTCGTGCTAGTGCCGGCTCCACCACCGAGATCTACCTACATCCTTACCGCTGCCTGACATCTTGACGGACCCCGGAGAGGTCGGCAACCATCTTCAAGTACCGTTGTGTTCCCCGCATCACAGTGGAACCGGAGGTCTCAGTCGACAGTTCGCTACGCAGTTGTGCGTATTGTAGGCGTTTCTGCGTGCCACTCAGACCTGTCGCCGGCCCCCATGCTGGATTCTCCGCGAATGCATGCGGTGCAGCCACCATAGGAACGCATGTGACAACAACTTGCCTTTCTAGGATCCCGACGAGCACCTCGGCTCCGCCAGGTGCCCGTGGAAACGCGCACCTACTCGTGTCCTGCCCGGTGGACGTCCGGCGATGCTGTCACGGGGACAGTCCCAGGCTGAGACCACTATCGGCCCTCCCTGTCTAACCCAGTCATCGCCTCCCTCGCCGAGTCGAGTAGGCTCAGCACCCTCACATTCTTCCAACCTAGGCGCGAAACATGACATGGAGGGGTGGGCTAAGCTAAATATGTATACAGACACAACCGTGGCTGTCTGGTCTCGGCCAATTGTAGATACAGCCGTTTTATCAGCGTGAACTCCTGCCGGATTGGTCGTCTTGGGCGCACACGGGGGGTGGAGGTTGAGGTTGAAGTGCGCCGTCCCATACCCGCCGTCGGCCACAACACCGCCAGTGCGAACTCGTCCAGCTCTGCCCTCGTCGTCTCCAGATCGGAATATAAAACGGCGTTCCACGAATAAACATCGGCGTGCGCTCCAGTGTGGTAGATCTCCTGGAGGCTCCTGCATCCTGCAGGCTGACGATCCACGACCTTCCCGAACGAGGTCGATGTCCTTCCCTTACCCGGATACGTTACCGGAGCTGACACTGTCCAACGGAAGTGTTTCTGGAAGGAGGTCGAGCTGGCGTCTCGTCGTGTTCGGCACTGCGCTGCCGGTATGCTCGCCACTGCCCAATGGTTCTCGACGGCTCTCCGGCCTGGCCCGTCTGCGTTTTCGGATCTATCGTTACCAGGCAGGTCGCTGATTGTAAGCTCTCGGCGCTTCAACGTTGCTCGTCATGATCAGATGATCTCTCCACGCGTCTGATATTTCCCTCCCTCTCTCTTTATCAGTTCTCTGCATTTCTCTATGACACATAGTTTCTCTTCGAGCGACGCGAGAGTCGCAAACTCCAGCCCACGCACCCCGATTTCCACCAGTTACGTCCGGGCCGCAGTTGGTTGCCAAGGAGCGCAACGTCTTCTCGTCTCGCATTCAGCGCCTTGAGAAGGCACCTACCTAGGCCCAAGGGGTTCGCACGCCTCCCCCTTCGTAGCGCCCGACTCCCACCAACCCTCCCGTGGTTAGGCGCGCGGGGTTTCTCTCACGTAGCATCAAGAACTCTCGTTTGTTATCGGGTTAAAAATATTCACCCAGCTTGCTGTAGGCTTCCACGAGAGTGGGGGGGTCATACCTACCGTAGCCCCAACAGACTCATATGCCTACCTAACACTAGACGGCCGGAGCTGAATAGTCGCCACGGCACAACATGCATGTACGGTAGGATCGTCATCCATGAGTTGTGAAGGGACGGACAGATGTGTTGCTCCCCTCGCGCGTCAGGCGGCTTCTAATTGTGAAGCCCATCCCAGTCTCACGGGGCGGCAGCTTTCTCATATTAGATATTAATCGTGCCGCGTCTGGTATTAGGTAGATAGAGTTGTAGTTGCGTTCGATCCGTCAGACGCAAGGCCGACACAAAGCCGGTAGCTCCCAACTCATTACCTCCATCGATATACCCATCATGTCGGCATACCCATCGTGTTGGCATCGTGCCCACTTTGCAAAAGAGATCGAGGTCCACCTGCCTATATCATTCCCCGCTAGACCGCTGTAGAAGTGCGGTTTGCTGGGTGCTTAGCTGTTGTTGACTATGGCATGGGTGTTATGTGCGTAGTAAATCGCAACATATCCTTGAAATATTACGAATGGAACGCGCTATGCAACCCCTTAATCTTTTGTGACGTGGTTACCTACCCACCAAGCGCAATCGATCCCTTCCTTCGCTTAGGGCGGGGCGAGCCTTGACAGTGGATGTCTGCGACTTTCGCCTACTCGTAGTACCTTGGGTACTTCTAGATGCCTAATGTGGGAGTTGCCTGAGAAATGAGGAAAGAAGGGCATCGGATCAATCCGCTAGAAAATAAACAGGAGCGCATGTATACCTACCTAGGTAGGCAGGGCAATAGGGCCGGGCAGCCTTCTCCTCGACGCCCATTCCTGAGGTCGTATCCGTGTTGTACCTTAAGGAAGTGCTACTACGCCGCCGCTTTACTGGGAACTGCGCGATGCCCTCGGGTGCTGCCGGTACCTAATATATCTCCTCGACTTTGGCTGGCAGCATCCCTCATAGGTACTTGATGGGCTTCGCACATTTCTATGAGTAGCCCTCGTCGGCGCTTACCGCTTTCCAACCCGGGAATTGACCTCGGCAGGGTTAGATTTTAATACCGCCTACCTCACCTAGAAAGGGTAGGCCACTCCGGAACGCGCCGACCTAGGTACGTGTACAGCGCGCAATGGGGTGCTGGCCTTGTCGCACCAGTTCGATTCGCATAGACCCCTGTGGCGCTGGGCAGTACCGTGACACCTGTAGAGTTCTCTTCTCGATTGACGCCAGTTAGGTACCTCTTCTAGGAATAGGTACCTAAGGTAGTAAGCATTTAGGCACGTATCCCGCTCCTTCCCCCATATAGGCAGACCCTGTTCCGTACCTACCTACCTACCTACGGCCCAGCAAGGCGCACCTCCCCCCTTTCCCTCCTCGTACCTCTACCGCTACATCTCTCACCCAGCGAGCAGTTCTCGAAACCGTGTCAACTTCTTCTACTCATAAAACACCGGGCCGCTGGCCGTATTCCGAGCCCAGAATCAACCTCCTTACACCGGCATAGCATCCACAAGCAGCAAGCCTCGGGAAACACATCGTGATCGACGGCGCCGCTCTCAGTCCTGACAGCATTATGGCCTCGCCGATCGTCCCGTCTACCCTAAGCGGCGAGGAAGCCAGCTTCTACTTCTTCGGTCTCGCAGGGCCACCAGAAGAGGACAGACACGGGGCCATGGTTGCGCCCCGAGGTGCCTAACGACAGTTAGAGCGGTCCTGGATTTTCGACCGGCCGCAAGACACCCTTCTACCATCGGGAAACCGGGACACTATTAGCCGGCTGGTGCTAATATTGACCGCGGTCGACGCAAAGGGACAGGTTCCGCCCGGTGAAGACGACATTACCCTATAGAGGGGAGCTAGAGATCAATGTATTTACACGCGGACACTTCTCGGATAGCTTCGTCGGCGAACCTATTATATCCTTACCATTCCAGCTATTCCTAGATGCCTTCGGCCTGTATAGGAATATGTATCGGCCTATCCAAGGTGGATATCTTATCCCTGAATTCTTACCCGAGAGTCAGCATCTCCGAAAGCACAGTATTTTACCCCTAACACTTGGACCCTACGCTGCCGACTTAACAGACGTTATGCAAGCATTATGTCATATATCTTATTTGAGTAAGGGGCAAGAGATAGATATCGGTGGGGAGCGGAGGTTCGTATGTTCGTTTATCCAATGTATTACTGGAGACACGCCCTCACGATTTCCTAGGGCGACGGCTATGCCATCAGTCAAAGGTGCCGCCGTCTTTTGCGCGAGCAGCATGTTGACGATATCGAAGTAGAGATTATGGAAGGCTGGGGGTACAGCCGTCTTGGCCACGACTCGATAGCGAACACTCAGTTCGACTCAGACGCCAACGAGTCCGTCAGCTCGTCAAAATCGTCTCCCAACCAGCCGAGGCCTAAGCAGATTCAATTCACTCAGAATATGTTGACGTTGACGTCGTAGCGCTGGAGCAGCAGCCGCAGCGTGTCGACGTGGCCACCTGTTAGAGCTCGAGACTTGTCACGTACGGGATTAGCCCTTATACGAGCCTACATCTGCGAGTCGTAATAGAAGCTACCTAATTGCGTCTTCGTCCGTCGTGCTGTCTCCATCAAGATGTCGGGCGGGTTAATATTTCCCTTCTTGCCCTTAAGCCCTCGACGATCAGTAATACCGCTGCCACAGGCTCCATTTCGAACCTGATTCCCTCTTCGTATCGTGTTCTCATCTTCTCGTTCGTAGTGACGCCCGCACTGACAGTCGTTCTGCTGACAGTACGGCGTCGCCGCGACTCCATAGTACTCCGTAGGGTGTAAATGACGGCAAATCCGTCGCCATCAAACCAAACCGGCGGCGACCGGACGACCCCGGGAGCCAAGAGCCAAGGACCCGGCCTGCCGCCGCCTCTAATACCGTCCTTCTACATCAGGACGAAGACGAAGGCCCAGCGGCACCCAGTCCCGGAAATTACCGCGTATTACGCCTATTAGCCGCGCAGCCAGCAGGGACCAGCCCAGGATGCCTCCTCAACTCGCAATCGAACCGTATCGCGAAGGGATTGCTTCTGGAGGGAGATTAACTCGCCGGGCACTGGCATGCACGCGAGAAAGAAAGCAGCCTCGGCGACGGACGTGGAGAAGGGGGGAGTGTTGGCAATCGGAAATATTAACTCCGCCCCCGTCTCTAGCGACAATCTGCACTGGTGTTTAATTTCCGGAAAGCCTAGCCAGGCAGACGATGATGTCATTATCGTTAGCAGGGATGGGGAGATTCTGGTGTAAGTAGGGAGGTGGGTGGGCCAACACTATATTGTATTACCTATTAACAGCAGCCAACGGAACGAATGAAGCTGTAACACCAGTCCTGTGTGTATATTACAAGTTTGCAAAAGCGGCTCTCTTTTTTTTTTCCCCTAGGGGGTAGTTTTTAGGATGTTTTCCTTAATATACTACCTATACGCCAAACCACCGGGGCGGGGGGGGGGGAGCCCCCTTGTCTGCCGTGCAACACTCACACCCACTCTCTAGATATTTACCTAGCATAAATTTAGTCTTCTCGAGGCTATGTTAAAGAAATAAGTAGTTGTACAGCTCCACAAATGACGCACAAGACAAAATGCGGCTTAGCCAGAGCTATTTACCGGGTACACTTGAGAAGTAGCCGAGCCAAGAGCTGTCTAGCGACGCCTCTGGCATCCCGTCCTCGCTCGCTTCGTCCAAGGTTCGGTTATGTAGCGCTGCCGGTGAGAAGAGACGGAGACGGGTGAGTAGGTAAGCAGGGTGCATTCGCCGTTCGGCGGGGCTCCACAGGGTTGCTACAGGAGGCTCGACTGCGCCGGAGTAAAACCGTGCGATTATCTATCACGGTTCCTTTATTTTTAGAACGACTCAAACGGTAGGCCTCACCAAGGAGGGGTCGGAGCTACGGTTAGCTCCACCTCCCGGTGTTGCTGCTGAGCGACGCAGAGAAGCGACTGGCAACTACACATGTAGACACCCGATATACGCCCAGCGGAAGAAACGAAAAGAAAAGCAGCCGAGACGATCCGTATCCTGAAAGGGTAGGGGGAGGCGGAATTGAGCCACCGCGCAAGGTGCTGTTTTCGGGGGTAGCCATGCGGCGAAGGCTGCCTCGATGAAGTCAATTGAAGGGCGTGGTTTCGCGCCGGTGGAACGGGCTAGATTGTAAATACACAAGTTTGTTGCTTCCTTGGAACATAGATAAACGCGGGGGGGGGGGGGGGGGGGGTGGATGGCCCAGGAAAACGCTGCAAGAGCTGCTCAAAGCCAGGGTCGGAACGCCAGGACGGAAACGCCAGCTGCAAATTACCTGCACGGTACTGTCACATAGGGGAGTATAAAGAGAGGGTTAGAGAGGGGGAGTGCCCCCGGGGTACAGAAGAAAAAAGAAAAGACATTATTCAGAGGAGACGAGGTCGCCGGGATCCACCCCGGCTATTAAACGCCTACGCCGCTGTCGTTCGGCCTGCTCGACGAAGCCTCGCCGGCGCGCATGCCCGCCAGCTCCCGGATCCGCCTCGGCTCCTCGAGCAGCTCCCAGGCCCTCTCTCGCTTGCTCCGGCGGCCCACCTCCCCGGCCCGCTCCATGTCCTCGAGGTCGCTGATGTCGTCCGAGCTGAACGAGCTCGCGCTCGGGCTGCGGTTCAGCACCATGTTGACGGTGCGGCCCTCCTTCTTCTTGACGCTGCGCTGCGCGTCCTTGAGCCTCTGGTCCTCCGGGTCGTCGCACGCCAGCGTCACCACGTCGAGTCCCGGCAAGTTCCGCTCCAGGAACGTCTGGAGGTAGGGCAGCACCGATTTGTCGGGGCGATACGTGCCGCTGTCGTTGTCGATGATTAGTTGGTAGTCCTGCGGCCTTGTCGTCGGGTGGTCTTGCGCCAGGGGCCCTCTCCGTGACTCGTCCGGATGGCTAGGCCCGTCGGCTTCGGGCCTCCTCCGCCGCCGTATGAAAAATTCCCCTGAGCAGGCGATGTAGATTGCCGCGTCGCTGTGCATGGTATGTTTGCTGAGGAGGTCGATGCCGAATTCCTTGCCCGTCTCGGTGAACCGCATGAGCCCGTCCAGGGTGATGATGTACGTGAATATGCGTCCGCCCTCGTCGAAGTGGGCCATCTTCAAGAACTGAAGACTGGCCTCTTCTGAACATGGCTGGAAAGCACCCCAGTCCGTCCCCTTGTCGAAGTTGTAGATGCGGCCGTGCTGGTGATGGAGGGCCTTGTTGAGAATTTTGCCGCGTAGCCCGCGGCTCCTGAACAGAAGGCCGATGATAGGCCGGAATTCGACGTATCTGTGATATAGCTTCGGCGGGACCGGGCCGGCTAGTTGTATCTCATTGGCTTGGAAATCGTATTTTTGAGTCCTCCTATCGAAATGCCCGCTGCTGCTGCTCTGCGAGGGGTGCTCCGTGTCGTGGTCATTAGAGTCCTCGGCTTCGTTCCTATTGACCTTGACGCCAGTCATCCGACCAATCATCGGCGAGAAATGTTTAAAGAAATAGGTCGGGCCGACGGTATACATGTGGCCGTGGGGCGGCTCCGATTTGCCAAGGACCACGGCACTCACATACAGCTTGGGAGTCATGGAAACGCCCTTGGTAAAGGCGGTAGAGCATGCCTTGAGGAGGTAGGCACGTTTGCTACCACTGCGCTTCTTGACTTCAAACTCGTCTCCTCGAGCCGCAAAGCCTTCCCAGGCTTCGTTGATCCGATTGACCACGATGGTCACGTTGCCGAGTCTGTCATTGTGATCGGGCCAATCTTCGTCGTATAAGCGACACTTCAGCTTGAACCCCGAGGACGGGACGTTGGCAACGGTCCACTCCTGGTCCCATTGGGGCTCGAGAGTCTTCCTGATCGTCCGGGTCCTATAGAATAAGTCGGGATCTTCTTTATGTCGCTTGGGTAGTGCCGTGGTCAGGGTCGCGGTCAGAAAGGGATCGGACGACCCGGTTCCAATGTCCGCAGCGGGTAGGTTAGTCGCTCGATGGAAAGTGAACCTGACTGTAAACCCTGGAGGCGCATCCGGAATTGGAGTCGGGTCGAAGCCTCCGGGAGGGCTCGTCTTTGTCTTGATCTTCTCCTTCTGATTCTTGAGCTTCCCCTTGAAGGTGCCTTGACGGTGCACCGGGCCGACCTGCTTTTCATTGGCGGCATCGGCAGGGCGTGGGTACTCGCCTTCGCTAGGCGACGCGTGGTTGCTCGGGCCTATTTGGTCGATTTTCTCGCTGGCTATGTTCGCGCCTACGCCCGGGAACAGCGGCTCTTGACTCTGGATTTGCGCGCCGACCGTCTCTTGCCCGACAAGCGTGGCCATAGCCGACAATGCGGTGGCCAATTGACAACGGCGAGGGCGAGGGATTGTTTAGGGGGGTTGATTGTCGCCGGACCCGTTCACTGCGTAGGAATGACGGGCGGGACACGGTGTGTGGTGGTTCGGAGATCCGAAAGGAACCGCGATGATGGATGCCAAGGCGGCGTCTTGCGCGCTGGATGGGCTGGGCGCTGGGCTGGGCGTTGACCAGGGAGGCAATTAGTCCACAAGCTTGTCGGGGGAGCCGCTCTGCTGACGAGAAGCGACCAAAATACCAACTAAGAGCAAAGACCGTCGATATACTACATATCGTGGGGGAAGAGGTGCTTCTCGCCCTCCTCCAACTTGTTATTATGTCTGCCGACCCTTATCCCGCCTCGCTTGGTCAAGCACGGCGGTCTTTGGGGACTCGCGAAGCCAGTGCTGGCAAGTGGTTGCCGACGGTGGAGAAGCGTAGAGAACTCGGCAGAAAAGGCCGTTGACTCGAGCGGAGAGGAGAGGACGGCGAAGAGGAGGGTCGAGGCAATTGAATAAAAGAACGAGGGCCGGAGATAGCCTGTCTGTGGCTGGCACTCGACAACGAGACCGGGGGCCTGCCGTCTTTGCCGGTGTGGGCGAGATCGACTGGTTTGACCAACATGGAGACGAGAGGAATCTACTTCCGTGCCGTATTCCGGTACACCTGTTAATCCCATGTGTGAGTAGGAGGTACCTGTCTAATATCTGTTTGGGTTTCCATCGTATGCGCCCGGCAGCGACTTCGCCTTACCCCATGTATGCACGTAAGAGGTACCTAATGCGTTTACATGGGCGTGGGCATGCACTTACTCGGCAGGCCGATGCGTCGTTTCCCCACCTCTACCACGGAATGGACCTGGCTTACGTACCTACGCTTACACACCTAAGTAATTACGCATATACCTATCTTGACCAGTTCTATCGTCTTAGGGCATACCTTAGGTACCTAACCAAGGTACCTACCTACACAGTACTGTAGGAGGTACTCATGAATTCCTGGTACGTAGGCACGTATCTTATAATAATTGATAGTTGTCTTCTCGAGATCGAATGCCGTTTACCCGGAAAGGTCGCCCAATGAGAGAGTGTGCCAGAAATCTACCCTCCAAGTGCCCGATCGAAACCGCGTGGTCATCGTGGCTGTGCGACGGCTGATGAGACGACGTAATTTGCGGCTGGCCGAAGCTTAGCACAGCAGACTGCTATTCCGGGGTGGGAGGTGGCGTATTAGGTAATTAAGAGTGTCCACGTGATTGGAATCTGCGATAGCCCCACCCCCCTCCATTTGAGTGCTGGTTTTCCCAGGAGCCCTCGGCCGCCTAAGCGGTAGAGGAAAAGGGGGGATAATGCCAGGTAAATCTATCTTTCGATTAGGCGCGAGTTGCTGTTCCCTTAGGCATAGGAAGTTAAGTACCTAGGTAGGTACTATCGAGATAATTTCACCTCTCGTCGTCTTTATGAGTAGAGACCGGCCGGCCTGACTCATTCTGGTCTCACACCATACACTCATCAGCTTTACTTACCCACCTCGAGACAGGCTCTGATCGTTTCTTCTATTTTTCCAGCATCGCTTTCTCACCAACCCTACACTTGTTAGGAGAGGGGGGGGTTGCATACTCATCAACGCCCCAGCTCTCTGGAACCTGTTCGATGATCACCTTGCCCACTAACCTGTAATTTGATTATCGTTACCAGACGGATCATTCCCGACAAGATGCGTGGGATCTACCCGACGCCTGCTCTCTTCCCCGGTGGTGAGCACTTCTCTGGAGGATAACTACGGTGTCAAGTTTGAACAGCATTACCCTCTGCGGGTGGCCATCTCGTCTTGTCGTTGGAGATCCTGGTACTCCCCGTGCCTGCCAAAGGGACTTGGGAAAACATTCCTGTTGATATTGCTCTTACGGCCACTGACAAAATAGCTCTGTCGTGGCCTTTGCGCAAGCTAAGGGCCTCAGTCGTACGCGGGGTGTCGTCCGCTCCGCGACACCGTCGTTTCTCGAGCGCGCCGTCTCGATTGCTGAAGAGGTCAAGGCGCCCGAGGCTGGCGTTGCCCTAGGCTGGCGTCACCCAGGCTGGCGTCACCCTGAGCCTGGGACCATACGGAGCTTGCATGATCCTTAGTTAAGAGTGCAGTGGGAAATACGATGCCTGGCGTGGCCTGATAGGCTGGTTGCTCGACTGGCATCGACGGCACACTGATTTGTTGGAGCAGATCGATCGTCGAGCATATCGGATTGGCTTCGTCGCCTTAGAAACTGTCCTCAGGCTCGACAAAATCAGGGCTGTTCGGATGCCCTTCGGTGTTCCGTCGTCCGATCTGGATCCGTCCTCGCTCCTGTACGGAGCCGTGTCGTACCTAGATTTCCCGCCTCCTTCCCCAGCGACAGTCTTACGCTTTCCGACGGCGGTGCTGGTGACCAAAGTCGTCGACAAACTCCCGAAGCCAGACTGTCCGGATGTAAGCCCAAGGAGTATTAATATCAATGCACAAAGGTACCGACGTCACCCGGGTTAGTTCGCATGTGCGTCTCCAAGCTGGCGAGTGCCGGCCGAATTGAGACTGGACCTAGTCTTATTGTTTACCCCGACGGGACCAATGGCGAAGCCTAAGATCCGATAACAAACACTTGGCATACGCCAGCTCACTAGTCGGCCAGTGCGGCAAGCGGTGCTGGGAGCGACATTCCCCTGAAGCTAGTCCCGTATGAAAAGTAGCCAGCCAGCCCATGTAGTTGTCGACGTCCGACGCCAGAATTTCTGAGAAGTCGGTGGTGGTTGTCGCGCTGCGTATGAGTAAGGCGAGGCACCGCCTTCGCCCGAATTAACATTGGGACGGTCCACCACGCGACAGTCCGGTTCGCCACTCGGCTGGATTCCATCGCGCGCGCATTAAAATTGAGCAAAATGAACGACCGGTCAGAACGAGAACAGCGCAACGTGAGTGACATCGGCCCATCACGTGGACTACAACATCATGTCTTCGCCCAATCAAGTCGTCTGGAATTCCTGCCTATCCTAACCCGAGCCATACTCTACTTGCCATGGACGAAAGCGTATCCCGGTTGCATGGTTGCATACCTCCTATATGATCCTGGTACGTGGGATGGTGCTTACCGGGCGACCTGAATACCTTCGGTACTCTGGCTCTCTCGTGTGTGGAGGGAAGTGAGGGAGTGAAGGGGAGAATTTGACGAGAAGGGGGAGGCTGCTGCTGGCCGCAACCGGAGCGCCGAGTTCGGGTCATTCGATCTGCCTGTGCTGACGGATCCGATCAACAGCTCTGTGGCTTGAGACAGGCCAGCGCCATCAACTTATTGCGTACATATATAGAGTCGGTGCGGAAACCCATGCGGAGGCTCTAGATACATCTGTCTTGCTCTGCGACGTCACGATCCATTCGCGTCCTCGGCCCGTGTCTCTCTCTCTGTCTCTCTCTGTCTTCCTTTCTTTCTCTTCTCCTCAACACGAATTTATTTTTCATCATCTCTTGTCCGTGTTCGTCGCCTTCCAGTGAGCTTCTATCGCCGCGTCAGGCGCTTGGCAGCCCCACCGTCGCAATGCAACGTGCCTCGTGTTTTCCGTCGAAGCTAGCCAGGTGTCAACCTCGTACCCTCGTCCCCACACGAGGTTGCCAATCCTTTCCCGTAGGTATCTAAAGGCTTATATTCTATTCATAGGTACACGTGTGGGCTGCCGTGTGTACTTGCACGGCCCCGCCACCGATGGATGGCGGCCTAGGCCGTCTCTGGCTTGGGCCAATCAGCCCGGCTTTCCCCCTCCGTGTTCCCTCCGTCAGCGCGCTGTTGGTTCAGCTTGCAGGCGGGGGGAAGGGGGAGGATGGCTGGCTGTACTACCTGTAGTACTGTCCAAGTACACAGTACATTATTTAGTGTGCTCCTCCCCAACTCGTCCTTGCTAACCACAGCGGAACCTCATGTATATTTACATACAAATATACCTACAATATCGCTCAGGTACACGCCTTAGGTCCGCGCTCTAGGTACGTACCCGAGGCACATCGTATGGGCCTCATAATACGAACGTGGTAAGATTTTGCGCACTAGCTCTCAGTTGACCTCCAACCGACCTCCTCCCTACCTCCTGCGTATTATGCATGTACGCACCGAGCCAACAACCACATCCATCCTACCGCTTCTTCGCTCTCCCAGCCCCATTGAACGTTGCCAGAGATACTTCACAGTAGCCTACTGCTTGGATATCTCATCCGTCTGCGTCTTTCCCCTCCGTGGCGAGCAACCTGAGGGTATCCGCGGTGCGTGCTTCGCCAACGGGTGGATCACTTGCTCTCCGTGCGAGCAAGATGCCTTCGGCTATTAGGGTCCCAGGCCTATCGCTCTCGGTCCCTGGAGGGGCGAGCGTGTTGGGCCAAGGACCTTAGTGCCAATAGTGCGCGCCGGCCTCCAAGCCTCATGGTGCGAGAGGCGACGATTTTACCACCACTCTGCTCGCTTCCGCGCATGGCAGCACACCCGTTATTGGCGCATTGCTCCTCGAAATACAGACTACTGCGTATGTTTCCCTCGATCGTGGGATCTGTCAGGGCCAAATTAATTCACCTCGACTTGCCAAATCCGGTTACCGCTGGATTCCCTCCAAATAACCCGCCCCTGGTCCGGTCCCTGGAGATCGCAGCGCGTGGGACCTAGGGTGTTCTGAGAGCTGTTCGGACAACTGACAGAAACAGAACCAACCCATAGGACCCAGTATCAGCCGTGGTTGGCACCTACTGATGCTGCACACAGTATCCCTGCACGTCCGAAATAAGCAGCAATGGCAACAAAGAACGACCCACAAAGAACACTTCCAGGCATGAGGAACCAGGCCGCCGGAATAGGATGGGAGTACGAGACCGCGGAGAGTCTGGCGTGTGTATGCGCGATGGCTGACTGCCCGGCCGTCTTTTTTATAAGGCCAGCTGCTAGCCACCGTGGCCCTCTGTCCAGACTTTCTCTTCCTCCTACCACCACACTTGATTGTGTCTCTGCCAAGTGCTCTCTCGTTTGCTGTGAGCATCGCAATCGCTTGATCGGTCTAACCTCAGTCATTCGCTTGTCGTGAAGGAAAAGTTTCGTCAAAATGGTCCGCCTGTTCAAGTACGCCAGCGCCGGCGCCCTGCTGGTCGCTTCCGTCAATGCCACCTATATTCACACAACCCCAGAGTACGAGGAGGATGAGTGCCCCGAGACGGAGACTTCGGCTCCCTACCCGTCCGCGACCTCGTCCTCCCCAGGGTATCCGGCCATCACACCCTCGACGTCCGCGGGCTACCCCGTCGTCACTCCCACCTACCCGGGCTCTTCGTCTACGAGCTCAGAGGAGGACGACTGCCCCCCCGAGTCGGAAACGGGGTCCTACAGCGCGACATCCTCCGATGTCTACCCCACAATCAGTGTTACGTCCTCTGTCCCGGTCTACCCTACCGAGTCCAAGAGCGCTACCGTCCCGAGCTACCCCACGGGCTCTGGAAGTGCCTCTCTGCCGGTTTACCCTACTGAGTCCAAGAGCGCCACCGTCCCGGTTTACCCTACCGAATCCAAGAGCGTTACCACCCCCAGCTACCCCACCGGCCCTTCGACAAAGTACACGACGGTGATCACGACGATCACGTCGTGCCCGCCTGCCGTGACCAGCTGCCCTATCGGATCAACTACCACCGTTGTTGTTCCTTGCACCACGGAGTCGGAGACTGTCCCGACCTACCATACCGAGGTTCCCACTAAGCCTACGGACGTACCGACCTATCCCACCGAGGTCCCTACCAAGCCCACGGACGTCCCAACCTATCCTACTGACGTCCCTACCAAGCCCACGGACGTCCCAACCTATCCTACTGACGTCCATACCAAGCCCACGGACGTCCCAACCTATCCTACTGACGTCCATACCAAGCCAACTGACGTCCCGACCTACCCTACTGAAGTCCCCACTAAGCCGACTGACGTCCCTACCTACCCTACTGACGTCCCTACCTATCCCACTGACGTCCCTACCTATCCCACTGGCATCCCTACTAAGCCGACTGATGAGCCTACCAAGCCTACGGATGTGCCTACCTATCCCACTGGTGTCCCTACTAAGCCTACGGATGTCCCGACCTATCCTACTGACGTCCCTACTAAGCCCACGGACGTGCCCACCTACCCGACCGAGGTCCCTACGTACCCTGTTGAGACTCCCTCGTACCCGGCGTCTTCCCACGTCCCAACGCTGTCTACCGTTTACAGCAACAGCACGTTCACCTCGCCGCCGACCCAGGTCCCCGAGAACACCATTCCCGTCACCTACCCGACCACCACGGCTCCGCCGCCGATTGTCACTGCTGGTGCCGCCGTCGTCGGGTCCGGTGCTACAGGTGCTCTCGTGGCCTTCGCTGTCTTCTGCCTGGGTCTCTTCTAAGTGGGAGGTCACGACAAGCTGTCCTACCGCCATTTAGGAGACCTGGAGCTAAGATCCTTTTCTTCTCTTTGTTTTCGCACTTAGGATCGGGGAGGGGATGGTGGAAAACCATTAATTGTCTGGAACCAAGGCATTAACGAAAACGGATAAGGAAAAACACTCTGACGCGTAATATGCTAGGTGTAGACTCTATTTCGATGTGCACACATCCACCTCACGCGCGCCCCTCCATGCCTTCTAGGTGCGCGCGCACGGCTGCGAAATGCCCTTCGCTCAGCGCTATTGGTGCGGCGGAAGGTCGGCTTGGCACAGATAAATTAACGTATTTAATCATGTATATAGACTTAATAACTTCGGGCAATCCAAGACACTCCTTCGTCAAGTAGAACCACGGCACGTTTCCTTAGTCCTCTGGCTCGTTATAGTAAATTGCGTGACGAGTGTAGTCATACAGTGGTGCCTGAACCCGATTCGAAGCTTATATCATCTGCTGCTAGTCCTATACAGGCATCTGGTGGCTGTTCGTGTACATGCCGCTACCTCCACGCCATCTCATAGACCCGTTCGTTGGCTCTGCTCACGCAACCGCACACAAACTAATACGCCGTTTGCCGCACTGCAGCAGAGAAGGTGTGCGTAGAATGCCCCGTTGATCCGCTCCCGTCTCCACGACGACTCGCCCGGACGCGGACGGAGACGGGTCCGGAAAAGGGGGGAAGGGGGAGAGGGGGCTGAAGGGACCGCTGCTAAGGAACTCGGCGGCCCGCTGGTCACTGCCCGGACCCCTCTCTCGCTGGCAGAGCCGGCCGGCGCTGGCTACGGCCTCTTCTGCGATGCGTAATAGCGGGATTATGTGCTGGTGCGTCTTGGGATAGAAGGCCCGTCGTGACTCGACGTGTTGTGCTGTTGGGTATATGTAAGGGGGGTGGAGCATAGGGTGAGTTCGATGATGCTTTGGGGATTTGTAGGAATGGACAGCTATACTGAGAGGGCGTATATTTTTGTACATATGGATGTGCGTACGTACGTTTGTATGTATATGTATGTAAGTATGTCCGTGTGTGTGTGTGGATGTCGGATCAGCTCTGCAGGGATATAAGCGCATACATGCCTAGGTAGGGAGTAAGGCGTAGGGACAAGCAGCACATATAGCTTTGCGGGCATGCTAATATACCTAAGCAAACTGGACAAGTGCGGCGGCGTTCCTGGAAGCACGTCGGGGGCCACCGCTGGGCTCTCCCTATGCCAGCCCATCCAATGCCCTACACGACCTCGTTCTCCCCAGGCCTGCTACGACGTCTGTGCATATCTGACATCCTGATGTGGTTATCCATTTGTGTTATGGGGTACATATGTATTCAGGCATGTTGGGTATGTCTGCTACCGACCTGCCAGACCTCCTCGGCCCCGTGGTTGCAAGTCAGAACCTCGACAAAGAATCATCCGCAAACGCTGATACCGGCGGATTGTTTGCCAGGAAGAAATACGGGAGAGGGCAGAAAGAACGTATTGTCGGGGTGTTGTAAAGAGCTTGCTAGGATTTTGTGATGGTAGCTGGAGGTGTTTTACCAGTGGTCGAGGATATTTGGAGATTATCTTGGAGTCGACCAGTAGCCATGGTCCCGAGCTGATTATTTGTACCTCCTCTGCTTTCAACACATCCAGTAATTTCGGTCCTCCTAACCTTGCCGTTCAAATCATTTCCGGCGATGGCGTATTGTGTTGCGAGGAGTATGAAAGGTATGACATACGTGGATGGCAACTTGGTCCTGGCTGCCCGTAAATGGGTTCGTCTTGGGGAGGGGGAATCCTTAAGTAGTACAGCTCTCTGAATAGGGGCTCTAGCGATGTTGACTCGTTCCCTATGGGACAACTCTCTATGGAGTTACATCGTTTCATTTCGATACCTTGATACGTGGTCTTATACAGCCTTGGAGATGATGTATGTTTCCTTACCCATACATTGATTCGGAGCGCGGACGGAGAGACCTTGGCATGGATACGGCAGTAAACCGGCCTTCAACGGCCCAGGCATTTGCACATAGAAACGAAGAATAACCCTTCGCACAGGCTTTACGGTAAGTTGGGGGTGCAGAGCGTTCTTATAGCCTAACGGACCTGGCTTAGTTTGCGTGGCCACTGATTTAGAACTCGTCCGCCTGCCCGTGGCCTTGGGAGTCGACTGAGATGAGAAAGTGACCTCGTCTCGGGCATAGAAGAACGGGTGACCAAGTCAAATAGATCGTATGATGGTTGTATCACCCGCCACGTTATCCCTACTGTACCAAGACTGGCCTGACAAGTAGCTAAGCGTGGAGGTAGACTGGCTCGCCAGTCTCGAAGGCCGTTCCTCGGATGAAGTAGGTGACTATGCCATTGGCAAGACTGGGCGAAACTATACCAGCAGCTTTACACCTACATCCGGGAACCGCCCTACGACGAGAAGCAAGATACGTACCCAGGCTACTCGTATGCTTGGGGTACAGCGGTAACACGCAGGTATCATGGCCGGTTACTAGTGCCTGGGCGCAAAGGGGTGCCAATGGGGGTGTTCGAAAAGGAAAGGGGGGTTCAAGACGCGCGGCATCACGACTCAGCCCCCCCCCATCCTCCTCCTCCCAATCATCACGGCTTCCATTCTTCCCCAGACGTCGCTAGAGCACCATCCCTTCCGTTCCCTTAGCCTCTCGGCAGCCTCCCCATCTGCTCACCGCATGGCTCCTAGCCGTTGCATCGGCCCCTGACTCGCGGGTTGCCGATCTAGATTGGGGCCGTAGTAATACGTCATATGGGATATCCACGCATCTGGAGAAGCCAAGACCCAATGAGCGCATCAGCGTCGCCTTGGAGACAGATCGATAGAGACCACGGCGATGCAGCCGAAAGCTTAATTCGACGTCTGTGCCAGCGCAGAGACAGAGCCGCCGCACGCGCACAAAACGGGGATGGCGATGGTGACGCAGGTTCGCGGGTTGGATGCCTATACGATCTGTCAATCGGGTAGCGAGGCAAGTCGCCCGTCGACGTTGAGCCTTGCGCTCGTCTGTAGTTAGAATCTCCTCTACGTAGAAAGCCGAGAGTGGTGGAGATAAGAATAGGGTCGAGTGGCAGAGAGGCGACTTTGTGAGGTGGAGAAGACGAGACAAGGATAAGCAACGGCGGTTGTTCTCGTCTGTGCGGTCCACCACGGTCGGTTGAATTTCCACGTAGCCTCGGACTTTGGTGGAGCCAACCGTTGCTGGCCGGTCGCATACGAGTCTGTCACAGGGACGAGAAAAAAAAAGAGAGCAGTCAGCTTTGTTACGGGAGGATTTTGTCCTTGATCAGCATTGGATTGTCCTGATGCTACCTCCCGCCGCGGGTTACCCAGGTTGGCATTCGCACGGATGGAGGAGGCATAACACGTACGTAGGGCGCATGCAGGGCGGCCGAATGAGTAATGGCGGGTAATCATAGCACCAGCGACAGCGGCAGATGGCCAGGGCCGGATGGTAGGGTGACTCGTCGCGTGTGCGAGGCACAGCGAAGCGGAAGAGGGAAGCGAAAGGGGAGGCGAGGAGGGAGAGGGCGAAGAAGCGCGAAGAAGGGGGATTTCTAAGCGAGCGATCGCGCTAGGATCCGAGAGTCCGGTCCCGGTGCGACCGGGAGTGGACGATAATAGTGGATGACTTATATGTGTAAACAAGGGGCAGCTTGGAGGCGGAACTCCGGGACGAGAGGGGGGAGGGGAGAGGGTTGGTGGGGCCAGAGAAACGAAAGGCGAGAAACGAGGAGGAATCGAGACAATATTGCAGGTAGGTATGTTACGGGGGAACAGGCTAGAGCCGTAACGGGACAGCTCGCTAAGCCGTATCAGTACCAGCCGTAGCAGAGGAAGATACCCGCGGTTGCAGCAGGTACTGACCGTAGCCGTAAGTACCACAACGACGACCGTAAAGTACACAAAAGTGACGCGGAGGCACCGGAGAGCCGAGCTGCCCGTGGGCCAGTGACCCATCCGTAGAAATGGCGCAATCGAGTTGGGAGGCGCCATTCCGAAAAGCAAAGAAGGAGAAGAGCAAGCTGTCGTTGCCGTGACGGGAGGCGGAAGTGTAGTACCTACCTACAGGTACCGACATCTATCTATACGAGGTACCTATAGGGGTAGGTGTGTGCCCACGGGGCTCCGTTACATTAGATAGGTACCTACCCTCCCTCCTCCTTTCCTAAACAGGCGTCATGTATCAACCTCTTCCTCGTAGTAAGTTGGGTGCCTATGGCCGAGCGAGACATGGAGGGAGGAAGAAAGAGAGCGAGACCGAGAGCAAGTGAAGTTATATATGTACTTGGGAAGAGTATTGGTGCCTCCCTCGTCTGGCCATCCGCTGGACTGCGAGTACCTATAACTTACCTACCTGGAGGGGTTGGCAGGCAGGTAGGTACCATGCCAGGTACCTGCGCGGGTATTAGCTGTCAGTCGACTGGGAATAAACCTTTGGCGGCAACGTTTTGCCATCCCGAACTTTACCCACGTCCATGACCAGGCCACGCCGCTGAGCTGGAGGCGGCCCAGTCACGCCAGTGCATCACCTCACTGCCCTGGTATGGCCTCTAGTGTTCCAGCTGCGGCCAGTCAATCAACCGGCCTTCGATGCGGGTTTTTATGACAGCGAGGTTACAGAGCAGGAGAGCGCGGGCAGAGTTGCTACCTCTGCCCTGACCTCGCGTCCAAACCCGAAGATTGCGCCCAGGACGTATTATTATGTCATGTAAGCATCGAAAGACCCCTCCATGGGGAGGTAGGTAGACAGGTACCCAGAAGGTACTGCTACCTTCGGGTTCGGTACCTACCTCGCCCGTTTTGGCTCTGGTCTTTCCAGAACCTCTGGGATGGTTTTCTTACGAGGTCGGATGAATACGATGTTCGCGTCCGACAAGGTCCTGCCCGGAGCACATCCAACACCCGAGGTGCGGTACCTATCTACCTATGGTAGGTATACCTTAGGTACCCTCCTACCTCCTCCTCCCGTACCTGCTCCTACATAGAGCTGCCCACCTCGTCTTGGATCGCTCTCGTCCACATCCCGCTCCCCAACCCCTAAGCCGCTCGCGGAATCGCCCATCACAAGGGCCTGCTCGGGGTACCCAACAGGGACGGGAACAAGCACCAGGATTCGAATGCCATACCCAACGTAGCCGCAGCTGCTAGGGCTAGCACCAACGTTAGGCCATTGGGAACTGGACAGGAGGTGACGGAATCTGCTTGCCCACCTGGCCTGACTGCAGACCACGGCGGGACCTGCTTTGCTAGTCACCGGCCCATCCGTCATCCATCCACCACCCGCCATCTCCTCCTCCATCGCCCGGTCACCCACGCTCGGGAGGCGAGGGGAGGGACACAGAGAGAGAGAGAGAGGGAGAGAGAGGGACGGAGAGACAGGGGGGACAGAAAAAGAGAGAGAGGGACAGAGAGGGGGGTTGTGTGGTTTCTCGTCACAATTTCGAGTCGCCTCTTTCTGTCTGCCCACATAATACTAGAGCTGCCAGATCTACCTGTCTACCGAACCCGCGGTAGGTCTCCCTCATCCTCCCTCTCCCCCCCCCGGACCAACCCTTCATCCCTCCCCTCTGCTCTGCATTACTTACCTAAGGCGCCTTTCTTCTCAGTAGCTGACCGTACTAAGACCTCTTTGCCCTTTCTTACCAGCCTCCCGAATAATATGAATCCACCGAGCCGGCCTGCCTCTACTCGTGATAAAACCTGACTCTACCCGTACATTCCTTCGGGTCGCTCGGAGCAGAACCTTTTTCAATCATACGACGGAAATCTCTTTCTCCCCGTTAGCAAGTAACTCAGCCAACCCGGTCCTCCACAGGAGAAAAAGAGAAGAGGGCAGAAGCATCAGACCCAGGTCGAGCCATTCCAAAACGCTCGGCGCGACCTATTTATGTTATGTGAAATCAAACCACGCCCATCAACTACCCCTACAACCACCATCACTACCACCACCACCACCACCACCACTACCGCCGGCTCCCATTGTCACCTCCATACGGACAAACCACACACACTCGTGCCATCACAACCAACCACGCTTTCCCTTCCTTTCCCCGTAGCAACAATCGCTAGACCGCGCGAGCGAAAGCGCGAGACCCCCGTCATATCTCCTGTCTGCCTACCTACCCACTCTGCACGTTCGCTCCCTTGCACACACGCATCTGTACAATCTCTCTGTCTCTTGTCTCTGTCTGCCTCTCTCCCTTCCTCTTTCTTTCTTACGAAGATACACACACGCGAGCGCACGCACGCACGCACGTATATCCGCAAACGGCCGTACACGGGCATCCATAAGTCCCCGTTACATAACCCGTTCACACGGATACCGCACATTTCCGCGCGCAGACCAGTTGTAGCTCACCAAGCCATCCTTCTACCTACCTCATAGGCGTACAAGTGGCGAGTAGAGGTAACATGGCCACTGCAACTGTATCGCAGCCTCCTATCGCCCCTGGTATACCGGCTCGGAACGATAGTAGTGATAGTTCTCGCTCCAGCCAGACCAGCACCGAACAGGTGAAGCTCGCCACCCCGCTTCACACCTCGTCCTCGTTTCCGTCAAAACGTCATCATGGAGGCCGTAGCCAGCCGGACCGCGCCGCCTCACCCAAGCCGTGGAAGACTTTCGTCAAGGCCTTCAAGCACATCCGCGACCTGACGCCCAAGGAGGTCGACGACTTCATGTCCTCGTACGAGATCTACAACCTCGACTGGGCCGACGAGGCCGAGATGATCAAGGCCTTCGGGCCTAACTACCAACAACGCGTCGGCGACTGTCTCCGCGCGTACTACTCGGTGCTCAACCACCTCTGCAGCCTCGGCGACGTGGAGAAGATGTACATCCCGCCGCTGATGGACAAGAAGGCCTCCGTCCTTGACAACCAACTGCTGTACGAAGAGTCTGTCGCGGAGGATGTTGGCCTGAAGGAGGGCATGAAGGTGCTGGACCTGGGATGCGGTCGTGGCCGGGTCGCCGCCCACATGACGAGTTTCAGCGGGGCGCAGGTCACCGGCCTCAACATCGACGCGAACCAGATCGCGCAGGCTAAGGAGTTCAACGATGCCCGCGGGCTCGCCAACGAGTTCGTGGTCCACGACCAGAACGACCTGCCGTTGCCTTTCGAGGACGCGTCTTTCGATGCCTTCTACGAGATTCAGGCATTGAGTCTGTGCAAGGATCCTTCGGCCCTGTTCAAGGAGATCTATCGGGTTCTCAAGCCTGGCGCCAAGTTCTCGCTACTAGACTGGGTTAGCCTGCCACCGTACAACCCAGAGGACCCTGTCCATGCAGGCCTCATGCGCCGAGTCAAGCCTTTGATCGGCGCCGTCGGCACTCCGACACCGGCTTCCTTCGAGAAAGCGCTCGTGGACGCCGGCTTTGCCGTTACCAAGTCGGACAACCCTAGTATCGGCGGCCTGCAGGCCCCGCTCATCGACAAAGTCGACATCTACTTCCGCTCCGTCAGGCGCGTCATCCACGGCCTCGTCCGCCTGCGCGCCCTGCCGTTACATTTCAAGACCCTCATCGATAGGTTCTGTCTCGACGGCCAGGCCTTTGTTAAGATGGATAACATGCGCCTCATCACCACGACTTATCGCATTGTCGCCGAGAAACCCTCGTCATGATAACCGACCTGGCCGAAAAGAGAGGGGGGGGGGGAGGAAGAGAGAGGACGGGCAAGAGCCAATTATTTTTAGCACCATGTACTTGGCGACATGTCGGAAGCTTACCGCTAGGGGGAGGGGTCTCCGGGGTATTTTCTTGGCAAAGGGGCGTCTCGGCTCCATCGCCGGCCAACTTTATCTACACTTCATCTTCGCATCCTTGGGCGGGGCGGCGGGTTTATTATTTTATCGCCGTCGCGACGGGGAAGCTTGCTCTGCGTCTCGCTAAACTTTCCACTTTCGATTCGACATACTCGGGAGCTTCGTCTCCCCACTGGAGCCCGTTCTTAGATTCCCAGGAAGCATTTCCCAGCATTCTTACCTAATAGCATTCTGCATCCATGGCGCGCCGTTGTGGTTATGCGATGGTGGTAATAGGAGGACTAATTGCCAGGCCGGGGCGCGTGGTCGGGTTTACCTATGCCAGAGGCTGGATGGGGGCTGTTAAGGACTTTGCAGGGCGAACAGGACCGAGTGGGGAGAGAACTTTGCTTACTCTGTCCTTGTTCACATGAAAGGCTCAGCCGCCAACGCCATCACCGGCATCGGTAAAGGGGAGGGCCTGGGTGAGATCGAACCGAGCCGAATTGCGGTATCTGTGGCCGCAGGCCTCCCGACGTTCTTCTCTTCTCTCTCTTCTCTTCTACCCCCATATCCGTCGCTACGGCCCCGATCCCGACCTCGAACCACCCATCGACCCAGTAAACAGCGGGAGTTGAGTTAGACAGCCCTCATCGCCGGCCTGGATACCTTGATGGAGGCAGCGACGGTGGTTTTACCAATGCGTATTGTAATTCGTGCCTTTGACACGCAGACACCGAGCACATAGGTTGGGGGTCGATAAATTTCAATCAAGACCTACATATTATATTCCCGCGGTAACCGAGCAAGCCCACCATACCGCAGCTGTGCTAATATTCCCCGTGATTAAAGTCCTATGTCTCTAAATCGGAAGTGCAAATGCGTACGCTTTCCGGTGATCTCGGTTGCATGTACCGACTACGACATGTCGGCCATAGATACAACACCTATCCCGTGGCACGCCTAACCCTCAATACGCATTGAAAATTTTCATGGAGACGAATTCTACCGTGTACCGCCCTGGTTATTGCGCTTTTCTCCCGCGTTCAAGATGTGTGTGTGTGCCAGAAGCGGGATGAACAGAGATGTTTTGAGCCTCTTGCCGTTCTCGGCTTCCGTTTTCCCTTCCTGGAGCAGCGCTTTTGGCAATGCCACCGCAGCTACAGTACCGTCCCCCCCTCGCCCTCTATGTCGGCCGACGACGTACCTCACTCGACCCGTAAACATAAATACCTACATATTCCGCCCTCCTGCTTACGGATCGTGGTCGAATAGAATAGCGCGTGTTTTAGACGGACGGGTGTCTCCTTTGTCCCCCCCGTCCCTGGGCTGTGTGGGGCGCGAGCGATACCCGCGCATTCCAGACCCGGCTCGGGGAAGGAAGAATAAAGAAGGCAACGAGGGCGCGGAGCTGGGAGGCGGAGGGGGGGAATACGAGGACGTGCTGTTGGCGGTAGGGTGGAGGACAGGACGGATAGATGGCTGGCCCCGCGATATGTGTGCGGGTGTTATGTTGATCCTGTTTGGAGCCTGTTTCCCCCCCGAAGGAGAATGAACGAGACGAATGTGATAGGAGGTCGCGAACCCAAATTGATATATTTAAGTCCGTTGAGCCGGGACCCCGTAGTCCCCTTCCGCTATGAGCGAGAAACGGGGTTCCCTTAGCAACCCGATCAGGCGAGAACAAGGAGAATGAAAAGGTGAAGGCGAAGATTCTTCGACCAAGATTCTTCGTCGAAGATAAGCTGGCATATCGTACGGCCATTCAGCAAGAGTGCGAAGGGGGATGGGTGCTGCGTGCCGTGGGGGGAACCGATTTGCCCCTATTCTCGCTCCTGTCAAGCCCCCAACAGCCGCGGAGCAAGGGGGATAATTCGAGAGCCCCGTTTACAACACTGCGAGCTACTAGTCTTTTGGCTTTCCGATCGTGCTCGCGAGGAGCTGAAGGAGAACCCGGAAGGGCCGGTTGGAGGGGAAGCGCTGCGAATGCACGCGAGGCGAGCCTGAACCGGATCGGATCCTTGCCCAGGAGACTTGAGATACATCGCATAGGAGATCCTACCTACACTATAAGCCTCTATCTGCAAGTTGTAAAATATAGGCGCTTACGTTTTACGCAGCAAGGTAGGAGGAGTATCGACGTGCGTGGTGGCAGGTCTAAGAGAAAAGGGGGAGGGGGAGGGGGAGGGGGGAGTTCGTTGGATACTCCAAGCCCTAGATCGGTGCCGCACGTTCAACGTGTGTACATTATTTAAGGGAGCCTACCTACCTATCTATAGGCAATCACGAGATCCCGGGCGGGATATATACCGTATATACTACTAAGGCCATCTTCTCCGGAGCGAAAGTCTTCGATTTTGGGGTTGGCTGCCGCTTGGTCGGTAAAGGGGAGAAGAGGTGTCGCGCCTTGCGCCGCGTCCGGTTACAGACCAGCCCAACTCTTTCTCTGGATCTCATCCCAACGTCTAGCTGGAACTCGCCCCAACCTGCTAGTGCGAGTCAGGTGAGGTACAGGGGAGGAGTTGCGCTGATGTCTATACCTACTTAGCCTTCAATTTCACTAATACTGTATGAACAGTTGTAGACGAGGTCGTCTACGCGATGATCATCCAGTGGTAGAGAAAGCGCCTGTCCGATGCACACGTTGCGGCGGAGGTTGTGCAGAATGGTTAGGTATTCGAGCCCGAGAATCTCAGTGCCCGGCAACGCTCCTTCCCATACTCGAGCTCCCACACCATAAGAGAAAATTCTCCCACGTTCTCCTGATGGTTCTCTCCCTCCCCTGTTTTCTTCCACGGGGACATATCCAGAGCCGTCCTGACACGTTTCTTCAATTCCCCATCGCTCTCCATCACCACCACGATGCCCGTTCAGTATACGGGCAGTAAGGCACGGCAGGAGAGCTTCCCGTCGGTTTGGCGCGAAGGACATTGACAGGAGCAAGCTCGTTGGCACTGGGAGCGTTCTGCACAGTGGTATCTCGCTCCTCAGCAGCAGACTGCGTAGCTTGTCCTGCTCGCTCGGTCGGATTCTGGACGGGCGCGGGGAGCTCGTGGCCTCGCTCTTCAACAAGCATCCGAGCAAAGCTCCTGAATTGAGTCATGCCCTCGTTCATCAAGTTAATCCCGCCTTCGAGACCAGCGAGCATCTCCTGTACGCTGGGAAGTTCGGACATCCTGTCGAGCTGTCAGCATCCAATTGCTCACACGCGTATTGACATCACAAGAGCCCAGGCTCATCTCCCACCTCGCGCCCATCAGCTCGTTCGCGTAATCCATGCTGCTATCGTAGCCTAGGCTATGGGCTCGTCGCGAGATCTCTCACCTAGCATCACCTAAGTCTGCCTGGATCGTCCGAGACAAAGTTGTTGACATAGTTGGCGATAGAGAGGGAGTGATGCCGAGGATGTCGCGGGAGTGATTGGCCATGAGAATGCCGTCTCCTTATCCTCCAGCTGACAGCATAGGACTCGTTCGAGTATCCTTACAAGATTCTCCCGAGGTGGCACTCTAGCGAGTCCTTACCTCCTTTGCCGCCGTATACACCACCGAATCTTGTCCTTTGGCCTCGAGTTTCCCTATGAACAAGCTGCTTGGCCCACCCTCGCGCTCTCCATGCATTCCCCCCTTTCGTGATGTGAGTTTGCCTCGTCGACTCACGCGCTTCCTCCGCGCCCAGGGTTGTATCCGCCCAGCGAGCTTCGTCCAGCGTTGAACGAAACGATTGTGTCTATACGCTGGCTGCTTCGTGACGCCTTCGCATGGTCTAGGCCAACGCCCGTAACCCAACCTTGCAGCTGATATGCCACACCCTCTGCGCCCATCGCGGCAGTTGTATGGCCGCGTTGGATCAACTGGGCTTGCCCCCTCCGCCTCTATCACAGATTGGCCCGACATGCAACTGTGGAATGTTGGTTGACACTCCGTCACTAGATGTGAGATCCCGCCAACACCATCGTGTGGTCCTCTACAACCCTCGTGCTTTTGTCGGCATGTTCTCTGGCAAGTGAAGATGCTCGTCTCGGCGGATAATAAGAGGAGAAGGTCGATGCATGGGGTAGGTACCTAGGTGTGGAGCCGCTAAATCCGCCTGACAGCTTTTGACAGCCGGGAATTCCTGTCGCCAATCAAACGTCCCACGCGAACCCATCTAACACCCGTCTCTGTTCTTCCACTTCACACCCAACTTCGTTCCCCAGAGACTCTCTGCGCATAAGACAAGCACTCGCTCTCCTCTGCTCGTCATGGCCCGAAATCGAGCGTGTAATCGAGCGGACCGGGACAAGCGCTCACCCTCCGCGTCGTACCGTCAAGGTGATGTTGTAGGTAGGTATGCTGACTCGTGGCAGGAAAGCAACCCCGGAACGCGGTGCCCAAGAGGAATCGCCAGACGACCGACCCCCCCACCCCCGCAGCTACAGACCGAACCTAGACACTCCTCGCGACGTTCAATAATTCCCCTTCCCAAGTTGACGCCGACCGCAACCGCCAAAACTTCGCCGACAGAGCCACCATTCGAGACGTAAACGGCTCCTTCGTCGGGCGGTCGAAAGCGATCACACGAAAGGCAGGATACCCTCGAGCCCCCATCGGAGGAGCACCCCGCGAAGCGGCGGCGGCCATCTGTCTGCGTCAACCAACTAGACAACGACGAAGACGAGATCGACCCGATTAGGCAAGGGTAAAGTCGCTAGTCGCGTTGATACTTTGCGTAGGATCCCGACACAGAACGCTTCCTTCCGAAGAAGTCATCGTCTTCCGTTAGCTGCAAATGGTCGCGATCCGGCTCTGCTGGCCCCGTCACGCCTAGCGACCAGAGACCGAGAGAAAAGAAGGGCGCTCCGTACCGCGACCTGCGATACAAAATGCTGCTTGCGATTGAAGGGGGCTTCATAGAAGACTCAGCGCTAAGGATCGCAGACGAAAGCGAAGATACCTGTGCCGCCCTGCTTAGCTCCCAACAGGACACCCTAAACGACTCTCCATTTCGTAATGATCTAACTCTCCGCCTTGCCGGAAAGTAGAGAGAGAGAAGAAAAGTAAGGCAAGAGTTATATAAGATATTTTATATAATGGGCTACGCCTAGTCATAGAACCCTGGTTAGTATAGCACTAGGGTACGTAACCGCTCCTCCCGTATATAGCTAGCTCCTAAAGGCGCGGCCTTAGTAAAGCGTACCTTTCTTCCTTTTCCTCTTCGTATAGCTTTATTCCTTTAATTTATATCCTTTTACCTAGCGAATAGTTCTTAAAACCGTAATAAAAAGCTATATTATCTTTTCCGTAAGGTTAGTACCTAGATATCCGATATCCGACTCTTAAATAACGGAAGATAAGTTTAAGGCCTAGGCGTAGTCGAGCGCTTAAGAGGCGACGCTAGCTTATTACGTATTATTATAAGACCCTTACTTCTTAAATTCCATAAGAGAATATATAACCGATTTCCTACGAAATAACTCCTTAGTACCCGTACTACCGGTATCCGTACCCGTATTTAAGGTTATAACTACCTTACTTACGGACGTAAACGGAACTCGACGAAAACCTTTTAAGTAATATAAATAAAACGGAAAGGCTATATCGTTTTACTTTTATTTAAAAAAGCTATAAGCGAAAATCCTAATCGACGCTCCGGACGGCTTATTCGGTAATAATAACGCGATATAATATTCTATCCTCGGTACGATATCCGAGGATCGGTAGCGGAAAATAAAATACTTCTAGAAATCCGGCGGTTTAGGGGACGGGTTCTAACTTAAGGATTTACTAAGGTATATAAAAGAAACGTTCGGTAATATTTAAATTAAAAAGAACGCGTAATAAAAACTACGGAAACTACGGTAGAAAAAGGAGGAGACCTTCGGGAGCTTTCTATCCGACTTCGAAGAGATCTTAATAAACGTTAAAGACTTTAGCTAGGATAACGATAATAAACTAACGTAACTAAAAGTAATATTATTTAATTACCTTTAGAATATATTAATTCCGATTTAAATATCTTAAGATTACGATACCTTTATCGCTTAAATCTATTTAATCGCGTAGCGTTACGAATAAATAACCGAATTTAAGCGGCTCGCGAAAAAGTTAAGCAAGAATAGGCGTTACTCGGCGACCCCGAGCTACGAATTAATATCCGTTATCTAACGTTCGGACTCCGTCCGGATAAATACTTAAGGCGATACGATTATAACGGGTTTTATTAAATTATAAGGGAAGCCTCGCTAAACCTACGGCGGGTTTAATAACGGACTTAATAATAATACCCGACGGATAAGGTAAGTACTTTAAGAGGAATACGAAAAAAGGAAGGTCTAGGGTAACTACTTTCGTTACGGCGCTAGCTAGTACTAGGTTAAGGACTACTCCTACTTACCGGCTACTCGCCCGGGTAATTAAAGGCGGTTCCCGCCCGTACCGGTACGGATAACGTAAGTTATCGAACTACTACTAAAAGAACTAAAGAATATATTAGTTAATATAACGATAGGAAAAGAATAGCTCCGTTATAAAGTCGGGCGACGGAGCCTAGCTAAGAAGTAATAAATAAATAGAAAGCCTATAAGGATAAAATAAAAAGCAGCCCTTCGTTATTATTAATTATAGTTAATAAAACGTCGTTATCGGAAGCCCTTATAAACGAAGGTTACTTATATTTTAT